CTTTCAGACAAATGAGTGATGTGATCAGACCCGAGTGGGGGCCTCCCGGAGACGCTGACACCTCACACTCCCCAGCCGGGAGTGGACAGGGGACGGGAGTAACCAGGGCCAGGTGGCGAGGCGGTCAGATCCCAGGAAAGGCCAGCGAGGGGCAGGCGGGGAGGAAGGAGGGCCCTGAGAAGGGGGCAGGTGGAGCTGGAGCCCCTTTGTCCCCGTCCCCAACCCCCAGCATAGCTGGGTGGAGCTGGGCAGTGAGGAGAGCTGTCGGGGGATGGAGCCCGCACACGGTCGCTTCTTTCCAGGTGAGGGGCAGAGGGGCGAAGACCAGGTGGTGCTGCAGGGACCGTGGGAGGGCTGAGCAGGAGGCAGGGAGCCCCAGGACACAGACAGGGCCCCCTCTTCTCATGGTCACTTCAGACCCAGTGGGAGGAACAATAAAACCACAGAAGGGAGGGGACAAGCAAAGGGACAGCCTTTCTGAACCTGACACAAAACCCGGAAACCTGAAAGAAAATGGGTTAATCCGATTACACTCCGTTTTCAAAATGCCAAACACCACCAAAGCTGCTGAGCTCCCCTCGGGCGCACCCCTTCTCCTCAGTCCCCGGCCGCAAGCCCATCACCTCCACCTTCCTCTCCCTCTCCGAGCGCCAAGGCCCTGCCTTTGCCACTGTAACTTGTCTCCGGAGCCCGTTTCTTCTGCTCACGTGCTCCCCTCCTCTGTCTCGGAGGAAGAACGGCAACAAAAGGCACCAGAGCCTCCGGGGAAAACCACACTGGAGCACCGCGCTGGCGGTCAGACTCACCTCAGACTCCACGATCAGTCAAAACCCCCAAAGCTGTGCTGCAAACTCTAATTTCCCAACACAAGTCTCTCTCCAAACTACGTCTCCGTTTTGTATGAAATGCAAAAGGTCAAGACTAGTTGGACATGCTGAAACCGGTGTGGCTCAGTGGATAGAGCGTCGGCCTGTGGACTCAAGGGCCCGGGTTTGATTCTGGTCAAGGGCATGTACCTTGGTAGCGGGCGCGTCCCCAGTGGGGGGTGTGCAGGAGGCAGCTGATTGATGACTCTCATCAATGTTTCTAACTCTCTATCTCTCTCCCTTCTTCTCTGTAAAAAAAAAATTAATCAATAGCCAAAACCGGTTTGGCTCAGTGGTAGAGCATCGGTCTTCGGACTGAAGGGTCCCAGGTTCGATTCTGGTCAGGGGCATGTACCTTGGTTGCGGGCACATCCCCGGTGGGGAGTGTGCAGGAGGCAGCTGGTTGATGTTTCTCTCTCATTGATGTTTCTAGCTCTCTATGTCTCTCCCTTCCTCTCTGTAAAAAATCAATAAAATATATTTTTTTAAAAATCAATATATATAAAAGAATAGTCGGACAACCCTAAAAGGAACACGTTCCAAGTGCTCATATGTGTAGATACCCAGCTCCGTCATATAGGCTAGCGAAGGCGCTGCCGGAGTCCGGAGCAAGCGGCCCGCGTGCAGACAGTGGCTCGGACCCCGCGCTCTGACCCCGGCAGCGGGAAGGGAGAATTTCCAGTGAAGACGCAGCTGGCAGCTCCGGGGCCGGGAGCTGTGCCCGCAGTGTGCCGAGGGGAAGCCTGCACGCCCAGCGCGGCCCCAGAGCTAGCACGTGGCCAACCGGACTCAACACAGTGGAGCGTCCGCTCTGCCAGAGACCCTGCGGAGAGGCTGGAGGACGTGTTTGCAAGCCACAGACCCAACCACGGTTTCGGTCCGGCGGCACAAAGAACTGCCAAAGCTCAGCAGGAGGAGCCAACGTCCCAGCTAGAAAGTGGGCAGAAGGCGAAACCAGACACTCCACTGACCAGGGAGGGCACAGGGCGAGGGGTCCTGTCGGCTCTGCCCTCAAGGAGACGCAAACGGTGGCCACAGGGAGCCCACCCACACCCGGGAACAGACGGCACGGTGGGAGCAAGGGTCTCCCACTGCTGGGGTGCAGACACTGGGAAAATCAGGCAGTTTCTTAAAAAAAAAAAAAAAAAACAAGCGTGTGCTTACCGCATGACCAAGCAGCTGTGCTTTTGGGCACTTATCCCGGAGAAACGAAAACTTAAATTCACCCAAAAACCTGTGCATGGTTCCATAGCGACTTGATTCATAATAGCTCACGAGGCAGGAGGGCACCAGCATGCCCCCAGAAGCCATGCCTGCGGGGCGCAGTCAAAGGCGCTCCCGGAGGCCAGATCCAGGGGGCCAGATCCAGGGTGCGGGGTGGAGCTGAGGAAGGGGAGGCTGCACCTGCTCACAGGGTGCTTGTGGTAACACATACCTACACTGACACGTGCGAGAGGCTGCACAGAGCTAAGCACACACTCACACCCATACGCTGTAACGCTGGTAAGCCTGTGAGGGTCTGTGTCCCGGGCGAGGGCAGCAGCGCAGGCATGAGGGGGACTGGGACGTGAAGGGGGGTCTCTGCTTTCTTACAACCACGTACGTACACCTACAATGACCTCAAAATAACATACAAAAACAAAACGAGTGGAAAAGCTAGCCACCAAGCAGGAAGTAACATTGGCAACTCTCTCCAGAACAGGAATGTGGGCCGACGACCGCTCAGCAGCCCCTCGAATCAGCAAACACACAGAAGGGCGCCCCTGTCCTCGGTCCTCAGGGAAGCGCACGGGAAACCTGACACGGACCAGGGCACCCCCCCAGACAGCGACCAGCACCCCCAGGGAAGACCCAGCCCGGACGGTCCCCAACCATGTGGGGTGTCTGTGAAACACACATCCCCCCCACTGCCATCCTGCTCCCGGCTCTGTCCCCAACAGGAACCTGCGCTGGGCCATGGCTAGCAAGGGCACCCCAGGGCAGCTGACCTACGGGGACACAGACCAGAGGGGCTCAGCTCCCGAGGCTCCGGCGGCACTGGGCCCCGGGCGGGCAAGGCACTCCAAGGCGAAGGGCGCCGGGGCCTCCCAGCCTGGCCTCACTGGCAGTGGGAACCACTGGGATGGCTCTGGCAGCAGAAGAGGAGGGATCGGCTGTCATGTAACCCTTCCTGGCCCAGTGTCAGGATGCCCTGCCAGAGGCCAGCCCTGGAGGCTGGAGGGGTGCAGAGCCCCTGGAGGACCCGGCCAGGGCACGGAGGCCAGGAGCAGAAAGTGGGCAGATGGAGAGGGATGAGACAGAGGTGTGGGGGAGACCTGCAGGACGTTCGTAGGGACCTACAGGAGTGTTACTCAAATAAACAGGAGGTTGAGGACACCAGTGCAACGTCAAAATCAACTTCATGTCTCTGTACTTGGAAAGTGCAGAATTTAAATATCATTTACAAAATCCACATCACAAAGCACGAACACACACACACACACACACACACACACACACGCCCAGGCAGGCAGAGCAGAGGACAACCCAAACTGCAACCAATGAGGCAGGAGCCACCCCGCTAAGATGGTTCTGAACTCCTTACCCACACAGAAACATTGAGACTATGTTTTTTTGCTCAAACCATCCTATTTTAAGATTATTTTCTAAAGGCAATGTATAATTAGTACAGAACACTAAATAAATGGAGATGTTCCATGGTCTACATTGTTAAAATGTCAATTCACCCCAAATAGAGCTACAGGATTAATACAATCCCAGGCAAAATCCCAAAAGGCTTTCTTGTGGGAAATCACAAGCTAGTTCTAAACGTATAAGGAACCGTATGGCATCTTAAAGAACCAAAACAAGGCTCTGCCCTGGACCGCGGTGTGCTTTCCAGGCGGGCACCTCTCTCAGAACATGCCGCGCCCCCCTCCTCCTCCTCCTCCTCCTCCTCCTCCTCCTCCTCCTCCTCCTCCTCCTCGGCACCCTCCCCCGGCACCCTCCCCCCGGCACCTGTGGAAGCAGACTTCCCTGCACCTCTCAGCCCCTTCTCAGCGTGGGTGCTAGGGAGCTGGAACGGGTGAGGGAAGCTCGCTCTCTCCCTTCCACCTCCACGCCCATGAAAGGGCGGTGGGATGGGGCCAGAGCAGAGGAGGGAGGATTTCGGGGGAGTACGAGAATCAGGTCACTCACCTGGCTGAGGTACAAAGGAGGAAGGCAAAGAGCTGACAGAGCCAGGGTCACGGGGAGGGGCGGGGCGTGGGGGCAGCTCTGCACCCAGCTATTTGGATGAAGGAATGGATGGGAAGGGCCCTATCAGTGCTCTTTAGGAGGAAGTTTTGAGAGAGCCAGGAGGTGAGAGAAGAGCCTGGGACTCCCACTCAGACGCCTTGCTTTGCTGCCCTGGACGGTGCTGGGGCTGGGGCGGGGCACTCCTGGGCAGCCATGGTATGCTGGTCACTGGAAGTTCACCGGAGACGCAGACTCTGAAACGGCACACTGTGAACAGGCCGCTGGTAGACACCAGGGTCTGGGGAGGGCCCCCCTTTCCCTGGCTTCCCTAAACCTCAGGCTGCACACCTCCCGCTCCACAGCCACGGAAATTTTCTTTTAAAATATATTTGATTGATTATGTTTCAGAGAGGAAGGGAGAGAGGTAGTTAAAAACATCGATCAGCTGCCTCCTGCACGCCCCCTATTGGGGATATGCCCGAAACCAACGTATGTGCCCTTAACCAGAATGGAACCTGGGACCCTTCAGTCTGCAGACTGATGCTCTATCCACTGAGCCACACCGGTTTTAGCCGCAGCTACGGAAATTAATCCCACAGTCACCACAGCCTCTGCTCCAGGACGCAAGGGGTCCCCACCGCCCCAATACTCCCCAGGGCCATCGGTGGTAGCTGCCTGGGGTCCCCCCTGCACAGCATGGGGCAGGGGAAAGTCCAACGTGACCCCGATCTCTGAGGCGGAGCCCGGGATCCCCACACTCTAAGCGAGGTCACTGTGAGGGTGTAAGGAACTCGCCCGGGAGAGGCCCCAGTGGGCGCCCTGGCCCGAGGCCAAAGCCCACACCAGCCGGTGAGTCACTGCCCGGCCGCAGGGCCGGCCCAGACGGAGGTGCTCCCAGTGTGACCACAGGCTGCAGGAATGAAAACCACCCCTCACGTCAAAGCCACTCCGGTGGCCTTCAGGGCCTCTCTCCTCCAGCTGCTCCTGGCCCTTAGCACCCACCCTGGGCCTCACCCGCCAGCACCCAGGGGCCTGGAGAGACCTCTGCCCTGGCCTGTGTGCGGCCCAGACCTGGGATTCCCGGAGGCGGCCATCTGGGCCTCCTCCTCTCCCTCCCGGCCGATCTTATCTGCCTCTTCCTCCCAGCTCAGCGCAGCCTCCCCTCAGGCCTCCTCCTTCCAGGCCCCCCCCTCCTGTCTCCCCCAGGACCTGACCTCCTCTCTCCTGGGGCCCGCATCCCGTCTCCCCCAGGCGGGCCCCCTCTCTCCAGGGGCCCCGGCCTCCCATCATCCCTAGGCCGGCCTCCGATCTCCCCGAGGCTGGCCTTCAGTCTCCCCCTGGGACCGGCCTCCCCATTCCCCAAGGCTGGCCAGGCCTCCTCCTCCCTGGGGGCCCGGCCTCCCGTCTCCCCCAGGCCAGCCTGCTGTCTCCCGGGGGCCCGGCCTCCTCCCGCCGAGGCCCCGGAAGTCCGAGCCTCACCTTCCGCCGCGCGATCGTTCGGATCCGGTCCCCCGGTCGGTCAGGCAGCCCCGCGCTCCTCCAGGCGCCGCAGGGGCGGGCCCCGCGCCGGGCCCTCGCCATGGCAACGCTACACTTCCGGCCGCGCGGCCCAGGGCCGGAAGCCGGCGCGGAGGGCGCGGGGGCGGTCCGCCCTGAGCGGCGGGAGGCGCTCCGCGGCGGGGCGGTCCGGGAGGGTGGCCGCCCTGGAGGCTGCGCTTCACCGGACGGGCCGGCGCTCGGCCCACGCAGCGGAGGGCCTCGCGGAGCGCGAGCCGCGGGCGGGGGCGGGGAGGCCGCGGGCCGTGGTCAGGGGGCTGGGCTGGATCGGGAGCTGGCTCCTCCGGGAGGCCGGGGAGGAGAGCCGAGACCGGGGGCCGCGGCCGGAGCCATCCGGGTAGCCGCCTGGAGACACGGACGCCCCGGAGGGGGAGCCGGGCCGAGTCCGCGGGGAGGGGCGGCCGTGGGAAGCGGCTCCACGTGCGCGGAAGCCCGGCCTCGCCGAGCTCCATGGCCTCCCTGGCCCGGGGCCTGGGCACCAGCACCGGCCCCCGCGGCCAGTGAGACCTGGACCGCCGTGCCGGGTGGGGTGGGGGCGTCTGGGTTTTCAGGCCTTGATGACACCCAGGCCGGGTAGCCAGGAGGCCACGGCGAGGGACAGAAGGTCTGGGGTTAGGACTGGGGGGTGTGGGCAGCTGCCAGGGGCATTTTGCCAGGACCACGCCTGTAGCTCCGTCCTGTCCCTGCTAACGTCTCAAAGGGGCCGGGCCTGCGCAGGGGGCTCCCCAGCCTGAGCTTCCAGACCTCTCCGTAGAGAGTCCCTCCTCCCCTTAGGCCAGCCTCCTCCCCCCCAGGCCAGCCCCGTCCCCCCAGGCCAGCCCCTCCTCCTCCCCACAGGCCAGCCCCTCCAGCCCGAGCGCATTTCCCTCCTAGACCCCAGAGGAACCCCGGTGTGCCCACGAGGGCTTTTAAATATGCAATACCAAGGGAAGGTAGGGGAGGATGGGGGGCAAGGGGGAGAGATCAACCAAAGGACTTGTATGCATGCATATAAGCCTAACCAATGGACACAGACACCAGGGGGGTGAGGGAATAGCAGGGGGAAGTGTGTGTGTGGGGATAAGGATACATATGTAATACCTTAATAAAGAAAAAATAAAACACAAAAAATAAAATATGCAATACCTGACTAGAGAAGGACACTGACCTCTTTTCCTTTAGATCAGTTTCCCCCAGGGATACAGGAAGAGTTTGATGGGGGTACATGATGCACCGGAGTTTGGTGGGATATGCACTGCACCGTGCTTAGCTGTGCCTAATTCTACGTTCTTATGAGTACAAGGGGTACTCAGCGTTATGAAAATTATATTATAGAAGGGGTACACACATGTCAAAAGTTTGGGAAACACTGCTTTAGATCATCAAATGAAAATATGACAACAGCCAACACAGCAATAGCCATCTGGTGTAAATGAATCAAATTATACCGATTTTTAAAATGTATGTTTTTATTGATTTTAGAGGGAGATGAAGAGAGAGGGATAGAGAGATAGAAACATCCATTGGCTTCCTTCTAACAGATCAAGCCTGCAACCCAGGCATGTGCCTTGACCAGGAATCAAATGGGTGATCTCTTGGTTCATGGGTTGAAGCTTAACCACTGAGGCACACCAGCAGGGCCTATTTGGTTTGTTTTTTTGTCAGATGGGCAAAAAAAAGAAAAAAAGTTGGTGTGACACCGCAGACTTTTAGTAATTAGTTTGTGTACCATGAGATGAAAAAAACTGAAAACCATTGGAGGCCAGGGGTGGGAAACCTTTTTTCTGTGAGGGCCTTTGGATATTTATAACATCATTTGCAGGCCATACAAAATTATCAACTTAAAAATTACGTGGCTCTGAAAAAAGCTCCTCGATTTATTGAATTTCGAGTCCCGCCTGCAGTTGCCCTGATGGGGTCAGACCAAACGACACCGCACATCCCCACCCCTGTCCTAGACCAGGCGCCAGGGTGCTGTGGCTGCCTCCAAGTCCTCCCTGTGCACCCACACACACACAAGCCTCCAGTACGCCATGTGGGGTGACGCCAGGTGCTCCTCGAAGACTCCTGGGGCGGGACTGTGACCCAGGGGGCTCCCTGAAAAGTGGCCAGTAAAACCCCTCTAGCTAGGAGACTTGTCCCTCCTGTGCACCTCAGCCCAGGCTACTGCCCAAGTGCCCCCAAGGAATGAGAGGCATCCTCCCCAGGGGTAACTAACCCCAGAGCACCTGGGCCCAGAGCAGGAGAGGAAAACTGAGGCTCCCACCAGTCCTCATGGCCAGCGGGTCCAGCTCGCCAGGGCCAGTGAGGGGTAAAGTGAACGAGGCCTCGGCTCCCAGGACCCGCTGTGGACAGGCACCCAGTCTCCGGGGCCTGGGAGCCGCGGAGGCCCTGCCCCAGCCCCTGGGGAATCCTCTGAGCCAACGGCTGCCTCCCGCCCCCACTCCAGGTTTCCTCTGGGAAGCCCTGCAGTCCACCACGCGGGTCCTTCCAGCTGCTTGGCCTTGAACTCCTCTGGCAGCCTGGCTGGGCAAATCGCCCTCCTGTCTGTTAAATGGGAGCCTACACCCCAGCCCGGACAGATGGATAAAACAATAACCACCAGTCCCGGGCCCCTTCCGGGCTTTTCCTCCCAGCTTACAGGGGGTGCCAAAGGCAGCCCAGGGGTGAGAAGCAAGGCCTGGGTGGCCTCCTGCAACCCCCACAGGAATCTCCCCGCCCCTCCCTCCCAGATTAACCGAAACCTGCTAATTGTGGCAGCCCTCGCCCGGTCCCCTCCCCCACCACCCCATTGCCTCCTCTCCCCTCCCCCTTCCATCCGAATGATAAAGGGCCCGGCCGCCTGCCCCCACCCAGCCCCAGGCCCCAGCCCTGCCCCACCATCCTGCCCCACTGCCTGGCGCCCTCAGCCCTCCCGGACCCTGGCCCACGCTGCTGGCCTCCCCTCTATGGGGCCCTGCAGCAGCCCAGGCCTGGGGCTGGCGGGGGCAGGGTCGCCCTCCCAGCCCGCCAAGAGGAGGAAGAAGCGGTACCTGCGGCATGACAAGCCTCCCTACACCTACCTGGCTATGATCGCCCTAGTGATCCAGGCCGCACCTTCCCGCAGGCTGAAGCTGGCCCAGGTGAGGGGGGGCCCCGCTCTCGCTCCCGCTCCCCGTCCGGACCTTTCCCCAGACCCGACCCCCCACCCACTCCCAGGCTCAGGCCGCGGCCTGCACCTCCGGGCCCTCCCAGCTGTGCCTCTGGGGCCAGTGCCGATCTGGGCACCGGAGGGGAGAGCCGAGGTGCTCAGCTCCCCACCCCTCACTGGGGAGGTGCCCTCTCCCCCTTCGGGTGCAGGTGTTGGGGGCGGTGAGGGAGCCCTGGGCCTGGATGGGGGGAGGGGGACTTGCCCCCTGTGCCCCGGCTCACGGCGCCCGTCCCGCGGTCTCAGATCATCCGCCAGGTGCAGGCCGTGTTCCCCTTCTTCAGGGACGACTACGAGGGCTGGAAGGACTCCATCCGTCACAACCTCTCCTCCAACCGCTGCTTCCGCAAGGTGCGGCCGGGCCAGGGTCCGAGCCGGAGCCGGGGCCAGGGGCGGGGGGAGGAGGGACATCCCGGGTCGGGCGGCCCCACCAAGCTTGCAACCCCCTGTATCCCCCACCCACACCAGGTACCCAAGGACCCTGCGAAGCCCAAGGCCAAGGGCAACTTCTGGGCGGTGGACGTGAGCCTGATCCCCGCCGAGGCGCTGCGGCTGCAGAACACAGCGCTGTGCCGGCGCTGGCAGGGCAGGGGCGCGCGGGGAGCCTTCGCCAAGGACCTGGGCCCCTACGTGCTGCACGGCCGGCCCTACCGGCCGCCCAGGCCGCCCCGGGCCCCCAGCCCCCCGCGGCCACCCAGCGAGGGCTTCAGCATCAAGTCCCTGCTGGGGGACCCCGGGGAGGGCGCGCCCCCAAGGCAGGAGGAGGGGGAGCCCTCTGAGCGGCCGAGGTGGCCCCCCGGCCGGCTCCCGGGGGTCCTGAGGCCGGAGGGGGAGCCTTCCCAGGGGAGAGCCAGCGGGCCGCCGCCCCTCCGCCCTGAGCCCAGGGCCTGGCCTCTCCACTTCCTGCAGGGCACCTCCGACACCGGGGCTCACGGGGCTTCGCTTTGGGGGCAGCTCCCCACCTCCTACCTGCCCATATACACCCCCAACGTGGTGGTGCCCTTGGCACCGCTCCCACCCGCCTCCTGCCCCCAGTGCCCGCCCCCATCCAGCCCAGCCTACTGGGGGGTGGCCCCCAAAACCCACGGCCCCCAGGGGCTGCTCTGGGATCTAGACGCCCTGTTCCAGGGGGTGCCACCCAACAAGAGCATCTACGATGTGTGGGTCAGCCATCCCAGAGAGCTGGCTGCCCCCACGCCAGGCTGGCTGCTCTCCTGGTGCAGCCTGTGAGCTCCAGGGGGGGGCTGCTCTCCTCCCCTCCCTACCCCCCCCCCTCGTGTCCCATGTGGAGGGGACCAAAGGCCAGGAGGACTCAGAAGTGTGGCCACTGAGTCTGCCATGTTTATTGGCCACCCCACAAAGGGTGTGTCAGCCGGGCCCCTGTTACCACCACCCCCAGGCAAGGCTGGGAGGAGTGGCTTTTCCTGTCCCCTTCCTAGCCCCACCTTCTCTGGCCTCTTCTGTCTGTCCATCCATCCATCACCATCTGCCACTCCCTCTCCTGGCTGCGGGGTTGGGGGAGGGAGAACTTGTATGGCAGCTCAGCCTGAAGCCCTTTCCTCAGCTGTCTGGGCAGAAGGAAGCACCTTTCTGGGGAAAGGCATAGGGGCACAGGGACCCGACCCAGTGTGTGTGGGTGGTGACGGGGGCGCAGAACAGTAAAGGAATGGACCACATTTTAATGCCAAGACTGGTGTTTGGGGCCGGGGCCGGGATCGCGGTGACTCAGAAGCCTGCGGGCCAGGCCGGGCTGCGCTGGGTCCCCCGCTGCGTCGGGCGATAGAGAGCAGCAAATGGCGATAAGGAGGGAGCCGGCCCGGGCGGAGGGGCGGGCGATCTGTGCTGCGGGCGGAACCCTCCTCGCCGGGAGGGGGGGAGACGGCTCTGGGAGTTTGGGAACCGGCGAGCTCCCAGAGGTCAAAGGTGGTCGGAGCGCAGGGGGTGCGCCGCTTCCGCCGGCAGAGGGCGCACCCCCAGGCTCCGGGGCCTGGCTACGCGAGCAGGTCCTCGGGGGACGCGGGAGCCGCGCCTTCGGGGCCGGGGCTGGCGGGGCTCCCCGGGGGCGGCGTGGGCGTGCAGAGAGTCCCGGTGAGCGGCGTGTCCGTGCTGACGGAGGAGGGCGTCCCCGAGCGCCGGGCCCTGCGGCGCCGCGCCCGCCCCAGCTCCACGCGGCCCACGCGCTCGGCGAACTGGAGCGAGCACACGGTCTCGCCAAGGTCCTCGGGGCGCGTGGAGATCTGCGGGGAGCGGCGCGGTGGGCGGGCGGGCACACACACACACACACACCCTCCACCCCCGCCCGCCCGGGCGCCCACCTGCAGCAGCAGCACCGCCGTGGCGCCCGGGCCCAGCGCCGGCTGCAGCAGGCGCGTGAGCTGCGAGTCGCGGAAGGGCACGTGCGGCCGGCGCGCCCGCAGCGCCGTCATCACGCCGCCCAGCGCCAGCAGCGAGCGGTTGATGGTCCGGGCCTCCCGGAGGCGCTGGGCGTCCTGAGCGCCGCCCCTCGCGCTGCACAGGGCCCCCGCCTTCCGGGCGCGCTCGGACCCCGCCAGGTCCACCAGGTGCAGCGTGCCTGCGGGGGAGCGAGCCGCGTGGAGGGACTCCCCGCAAGGTCCCCCCCGCACGCCCCTGCCCGGCCAGCCCGGGACCCTCCGCCGCGGGGCGGGGCGGGGCGGCGGTACCCGTGGTGCCTGCGCCGCGCGGGGGCGGCGCCGCCTGCAGGGTCAGCGTGACCAGCGCGTGGGAGCGAGAGCTGCGCTGGTTCATGGCGGTGGCGGCCGTGGCCCGGTTGCTCCTCCCCAGGCTCAGCATCTGGAAGGCGCAGCGACAGGGCGGGGCCCGCTGCAGCCTCCACCCGCCCGGGTGCGAGCGCAGCTGGGTGCCCCCTCCCCCGGCAGCCTTACCTGGTGCAGAGTCTCCAGGTTGGGCACATCCCAGTACGTGAGGCCGGCCACCTGGATCCCACCCTGGCCTGCCGGGCCCTGCCTCACCACCAAGCGCTCGGGGGGCCCGGGGGCTAGGAGGTCCCTGGGGGGAAGGGCCAGGCCTTGGTTTTCAGGGTTCTTGGCAGGGGGGGAAGGGGGAACTAGGAGGCAGCCAGGGTGTCCCCTGACCTGACAGCCTCGTTGTAGATCTCCACCATGCTCAGGGTCACTCGGGCGTGCCCTCCGGCCCTCATCTCCCGGAACAGGGACTGCAGCGCCCTAGGAGCTATCCCGGGGTCCTCAGGTGGGCCCTGGAGAGGGGTGGGTGCCACGTGGGGCTCACGTCCTAGTCCCTGGCCCCAGGAGCCGCCCGGAGCACACAGCCCCTCCCCACCTCCATGCTGTAGGTCTTCCCGGTCCCCGTCTGGCCGTAGGTGAAAATGCACACGCTGTAGCCTCGGAGGCAGGACAGCACCGCAGGCTCCAGCTCCCGGAATACCTAGGGGTGGGGAGGGTCCTGAGCCCTGGGCACGAGGGCCCTGGAAGGACAGTTCTGGGGAAAGTGTGCCGGAAGGGGGTCTCCTGCCAGGCAGAGGGGGCCCCCTGGACGGGAATTTGCCCCCCAAAGGGAGGGCTGTGACAGGAGAGAACAGGCGTGCAGAGTATCGGCATCATGGTGACCACATGGGAGGGCCAGGGTGTTCAGTCACAGCCAGGGTCAAACCGAGGGGCAGGATTGCAATGCCCCCTGGCAGGAGACTGCTGTTGTGAGAGGCAAGGGGGAACGTGTGCCCGGTGGCTACAGGGGTGCTCTCCATAGGAAGGGTGGGCTCAGGTAAGCTGGGAGGTGGGGGGTGGGGTCTTGGCCCTGGGATGGCGTAGAAAGGGCTGGGGGAAGATGGGGCTGTGATGTGTGTTCTGTTGGCAGCTGGACATCAACAGCTGCCTGTAAGCCATGGCACAGCCAGCATCCATCCGTGCACAGAAGGCTGGTGAGCGGGGGCGCTGTCATTTCTGCTGACCGTGCTGCTCCAGCCAGGAGAGCAGAGTCCAGCATCGGGAGTGGGTGTCTAAGCTCCAGGTCTGGCAGGAAGCACCGGATTGATAGGCACTATCACAGGCGTGGCACCGAGAGACCTCAGCCTCACCCAGACACTCTGACTCGGAGGGCCCTGTCCGGGAAAAGCTCCCTCCCCACCCCAGGGCAGGACTGCAGTGCAGGGTGGGACCTAGTCAGGCTAGTGTGTCAGGCAGGAAGAGGGAGGGGTCAGGGAGGCGGGGTCTGCACTGGGTAACCCGGCCCAGAGGCTGGAGGCTCGCTTGCCAGCGCCCTGTCTGTGCCCTTGGCCACAAAGCTAGGGAGGCTCCTGTTCATACAGCAGGCACACCCTGGGGCCTGGCCATAGAGCAGGCAGCCTGAGGAGCCAGGGGCAGGGTGGGGAGTGGTCACAGCAGCACCCCAGCTACACTCCCCAGCCAGCTGTGCCTGAGCAGTGACCTCAGACAGGTTCATTTTCTTTAGTTTCCTGGTAAAAATATTATTAGTTTTTTAAATGTTAGCCTTCCTGTCTGACCTAGATCTGTTTCCCCTGGGCCTGCACAGCTTGGTGAGGGGACGCAGACCCTGGAAGGAACGTATGTGCCCGGCTCGCCTTCCTGTCTGGCCTCCCCCTTCCCTGATGGGATCTAGGCACTTTAGCTCCTGGGAGGGCTGCGGGGCAGGGCAGGGGCACCAGGGCCTCTGGGGATCTGAGGGAGGGCGGCACAGGTGTGAGGGCCGAGCATCACCTCCTCCTGGCTGGCATCCGGAGGGAAGACCCAGTCCAGATGGAAGCGACGCTGGTGCCCTCGGTAGCAGGTGGTGACGGTGCCGCCTGGGCCGGGCTCCGAGCTCACCAGGCTGGAGGGTGTCCCTGGCCTCAGCCGACACAGCACACGGATATTTCCTGGGGTCGAGATCACGGCCATGGGCTGCCTCACAGCTCCCCTGGCCTGCCCACCCCACCCCGTGCTCCCCAGTGGCCATACCCTTGAGCTCCAGTAGCCGCCCCGGGCATCCAGCTGGGGGTTCTTGCTGCCCTTCGGGGAGCTGAGCCCCAGCCCCACTGTCTGACAGTGTCCTCAGGGCCCAGGATACCTGGGGGAACGGATATGAGCAAGGCAGGGAGGAACAGCTGAGGCGAGGGGAGGGTGCTGAGGGCAATAGGGAGCCACTCTACGGCCACCAGCTGTGGGAATCTACAACATCCCGTGGCTGGGGTCCCTGGGGGTGTCACTCAGTGGGCCTGGATGGAGCTCACCAATCAGGACAGTGGGCAAGAAGCCATCTGTGTCCTCGGGGCTTCCTGTGAGGGGTCCCCTGCCACCTCGGTTTGCATAGGACACGCATGAGACCCAGAAGTGAGCTAACACCTGGGTCACAGGAGCTGTCCTGGCTCCAGACCCCACAACCTCCATGAGAGCAGACAGCGCCCTGGGTCTGGGAGGGAGGAATGAGGGGTCCCTCGAGGGGAGGACATGACTGGAGAGAGGGTGGTCCTGACCTGGCCCCGGGCCTCGCTCAGGGAGCCCTGGCAGCTCTGAGTGAAGGTGCTGACCAGACCTCGGAGGTCCCCGCAGCCCTGGCGCAGGCTGGCCATGCGTGCCCGGAGTCCTGGTGGGAGAAGGAAGTGGTTAGGGAAAGCCCCAACCCCGAGGCCTTCCCGGGAGCCCCCAGCCCCAGTCTCACCTGCCAGCTGTCCGTGCACCTGCTGCAGCTCCCTTCTGCAGCTCTGCTCTGTTTCCTGCTGGAGCTGCCGGAGGGCCCCCTGGAGGCCCTGCAGCTGCGCCTCCTGCACCCCCAGCTGCCCCACCCCGCCCGTCACTGAGAGAGGAGGCACTTACCAGGCCTTGCCTCAGACATGCCCCTCCCCACGCCTCCCTCTCCCCAGCCCCGGCCCTGCGCTCACCTGGACTCGGAGGGCGTCTGTGGCCTCCTGGGCCTCCTGCAGCTGGCCCTGGAGCTCCACCAGTGCCTCTGCCTCCTCCTGTGGGAGTGGGGGCAAGGAGCCAGGAGGAGACTCACTCCGGAGGGGCATGCTAGCAGCCCCATTGCACACACAGGTCAAGAGGGGCAGACAGAGCCAATCAGGAATCCATGCAGGGCTTTACCCCAAGTCCCTTGCTGGCCTGGGGTCAGTCACTCAGAGGACCCATGGTGAGTGTGTGTGTGTGTCTATCTGTGTGTGTGTAAGTGTGTCTCTGTGTAAGTGTGTGTGTCTCTGTGTGTGTGTGAACATGTCTGTGTGTGTATCTGGGTGTGTGTGTTTGGGGGAGGGAGATCTCTCATGGCATCAGTCTCCATGGGGGTGCCCTGGGCCTGTCACATCCTGGTCCTGGAAGGTCAAAGAGCGCCCCCTGCCGCTGTTCCCCGGAGCACCAGGTCCCGAGAGCGATGCTGCTGGAGACCAGGTGTGCAAACGCCCCAGGCTGCAGGGATGGAGCAGAATACCTGCGGAGCCCTGGCAGGGGGGCCGGCGCCCCAGTGCCTCAGGAGGTCCTGAGTAAGGATTAGGCTCTGCTTCAAAGCCTCGTTCTCCAGGGTCAGATGCTGAACCCTTTTCTCGGAGTCTGTTGCCCCCTAGAGGAGAGGAAGACCTCTGCACTCACCTGAAAGCCCTGGCCCCTCTCCCAGCCCCTACCTGAGCCCTGCTAGCAGCCTCACCACTCCCAAGTGAAGCTGGCCCAGTCCCTCCTCCTGCAGATCCAGCTGCTGCTTCAGCTCCTCCAGCTGGGAAGGAAGGGGGAAGGGGACAGGGTGGAGCACCTCCGTCCAGCCCCCCCTTCCTGCCCACCGCTTCCTGGGCTCCTCACCTGTCCAAGGACGAGCTGCTCCAGCTGCTGCCAAGCCCTCTGGTCCTCCACCAACTGGGGGGGCTGCCCCCCCTGGGCCTCAGCCCCCGGCGAAAGGGAACGGTTTTCTTGGGATGTGGGTCCTGAGGTGGGGTGTACCCAGTTAGGACTGATTGAGATTTCTGGCATGAAGGGGGGGGGGGCATCTCGGGTGCAGGGCTTGGGACCCCGCACTGCAGGCTGCTGAGGTCCTGGAAGTCTTCACTCCCTCCACACACTCCCTTTTCAATCACCATTTCTTACGCACCAGCAGTCGCGAGGGGCTGCACCCCGGAGGCTCGCTGAGTTTCCTGGGGCAGGGCCTGCCTCCCCCTGGGGCTCCGAATCCATGCCAGGAGAGCCAAGAGCTGGCCAATCACCGTCAGCAGAGGGGGGACATCCCCGGGCTGCGAAGGAGATGAGGCTCAGAGTGCAAGAGACTAAGGGGCCCGGGGGTGTGGAGACCGGTACTGGGAGGAAGGATTTGGCCAGCTCCCCTCTTGGCCCCGCTCACCTTGCTCAGATCAGCAGGACACCCGCAGCTCTCTTCCGCCCCCAGCTGGCCAGAAAGGAACTCGGCAAGACGCACGAGAGCCTCTTCCAGGGAGACCTCCGCGGGGCGGCCCTCGGGTCCCTCTCCAGGCCCATCTTCCGACTCCGAGCAGCCTGCAAGGCCAGGCAGTGGGAGGGGGGCACCTGTCGGGTCTCCCTCCCAATGAGGTCACTGACACCTCTCCCCCCTCGGACGGCGGGGTTTCCTCATCGTCCCGGACGCACTAACAGCACCTACCGACCAGGCCTGTCAGCTCGGTCCACAGATCTGCAGGGCGCTGGTCGGGGCGGCGGCGATCCCCGGGCTTGCCGCGGGCATTCTAGGGAGGGGGCGGGGGAGGCGCCTGAGGAGGGGCCAGATAGTGGGCCACAGGGTCTCCGCTGGCCACCTGAGCAGACAGGGGCCTCTGCACGGCCCTCTTCCCCGGGTCAGAACCCGTGGCCAGCGCTGCCCGGGCCTGCGCAGCCCGCACTCAGGAGGGGGGTTGCGGGTCGTGCCGCGTCGCCCCCGCTCACCTGGGCGGGGTCCCCGGAGCCGGCGGACGCCGCGGCCCCTCCGTCCCTGCGGAAAAGGCTGTAGAAGATGTAGATGAGCAGCGAGTAGAAGGCGTACATGGGAGCGCGGGGCGGCGGAGGGCCCGGCTTCGCGCCGCCCCGCGTCCCCGCTCCCAGGCTCCGCTCCCGCCCGCAGCGCGGCCGGTGCGCATGCTCCGGGCGGCCGCCCCCGCGGCCCGGCTCCCGCGGGCGCAGAGCGCGCGCCCGAGGAAAGAGGTGCCGGAGACGGGTGTCCCCGGGCCCACACCGGACCCCTGCCCCGACTCCCTAGCCCCGACTCCCAGGACCCCGCAGGCTGAGGTTGCCCACAGCCCCGCATCTCCCTTTCTCGGAACCTCTCCCAGCACTCCGTGGCGGTCCCCATGGCTTTCGCCCCCTTGAGCCTGAGCCCCCCCAGCATCCACCCTCTCTTCCCCTGCAGCGCCGCCCCTCCTTCCAGCCCCGTCCATCAGATCTCCTACACCCGGCCCTAGAAACCTCCCCGGACAACCGCCCCGCCCCTCCTCTCACTGCCTCGTCCAGCCCCTTCTCACAATCCTGTACCGCCTCACAGCCCCGCCCACTCATTCAGCCCCGCCCCTCACAGCCTACTTCAAACCCCGCCCTTCTAGAGCCCCACCCATCAACTCTGCCCCGCCCCTCCCACAGCCGACTTCAAGCCCCGCCCCCTCAAGCCAAACCATCAATTCAGTCCCACCTCCTCTAACAGCCCACCCATCCAGCCCCGCCCTCTCCCACAGCTCCACGTTAAACCCCGCCCCTCTCACAGCCCCACCCACTTATTTCAGCTCCGCCTCTCACAGACCACTTTAAGCCCTGCCCCTCCTACAGCTCCACCCATTATTTTCAGCCCCACCCCCTCACAGCCCCGCTCCTCCCTTATAGTCCCACCCATCGAAGCCCCGCCCCTCTGCCACGCCCCTTACGGCCCCTTCCTCCGACTCTCCCTCCGCCGACCCGTTTGCGCTCCTAGACTGTCTCCTCGGCCCTGGCCTGGTCCCCGCCGCTCTAGCCTCCGCTCCTCTCGTTGGTTCGTGCCGGGCCGCACAGGAACGGCGGCGCCGAGCGCAGGTTACGGCCTCCCGTGTGCCGCCGCGCTGGGGCTGCGCCGCTGGGCCTGGGCCGGCTCCGAGGGCCGGGGCTGTCGCTCCGCCCGGGTTGGGTTCCGGAGACGCCGCCTCCTCGAGCGCAGAGTCCAGGCCGTGGGCCTGCGCTCGTCCCGAGCGGTTCTCCCCCAGGCCTGGCGCCCCCATTCGGGTTCCAGGGCACACACCCGCCCAATCTAGGCCCCACCCACCCCCGTTTTCTTTTCCCGGCAAAATAGGTTTTCTTCCCCGGTGGTGTCCAGTGGCCTCGGAGCTGCAGGAACGTTCGGGTGAGCTTCTCCCAACATTTAGAAATGGGGCCCTGGAAACTGGGAGTCCTCGAGAGCGGCCCTTAGGGCTCCGGGGCGCCGGCTTCTGCGTTCCTTCCTAACTTTCCCCAGTGTCTCCTCCATTCCCGCCGCCCGAGGCGCCATGGCACCCACACCATGGGGTGAGTGGAGCATGGCCCTGTCCCACCTGGCGCTGGGAGTGGTGTCTCTGCACGCAGCCCTGAGCACTGCCCAGGTGAGTACCCAGGGGCTGGGGAGGGAGTCGCCCAAGGACCTGGCCAGTTCCTGGGCTCAGGGAGAGAGCGGTGAGAGGTGTTTGGAGTCCAGCTTTCGTGAGACCCCTGAGGCCCCTCCCCAGCGTAAAGGAAGGTGCTGGCCTCTTCCCCACATCTCCCCTCCCTGTGTTGACAGGCCAGCCGAGGGGCTGCTGCTGGCTTCCTGCTCCAGGCCGTGGCTGCCGCCACCATGCTGGTTCCAGGGCTGGGCTCGGATGAAGATGGTCTTGCTGGAGCCTGGGTGGCCACTGTCATTGGCCTGCCCCTTCTGGCCTTCGACTTCCACTGGGTGAATGGGGACCGCTCCTCTGCAAACCTGCTCCTGGGAGGGGGCATGGTGCTGGCCGTGGCTGGCGACCACCTGGGAGCGGAGGGCCGTTCAGTGGCCGGTCAGGCGGTGGTGCTGGTGGTGGCGGTTACTATTCTCATTGTAGCCGTGTTCACAACCAACACTTACGGCATGTGGGGGGGCTTGATGCTGGGTGCTGCAGGCCTACTGGGCCGGCTGGAGGAGGACAGGCTGCTGCTGCTGCCGAAGGAGGACGTCTGCCGCTGGGTCCTGGCCGCGGGCAGTTGGGCCTACCACCGGGCCTTGCACACTCAGCGCCTGCAGTGGGAGTGATGATTGAAGGCTGCTGGGCTGGGCGGGGCTTCTGCCCTGGTTACCACCGCGTCTCCCGGGGCCTCCTTCCCTAGAGACAGAGCCTCCTTACTCCCAAAGTGGCTTGCTGCAGGGTGACCTCTCGGGGGCAGAATCTGGGCACTGGTCCTCAGGTTGAGTGTGAGAACCCGCCTAGACCAGAATAAAGGGGATGGCGTCCAATCACATGTGGGGCTCTGATTCTGAGAGGCTATGGTTGTGGATCCAGAGAGAGGCTTTGGTCTCCAATAAACCTTAGGGATTCTACAGGAATATGGAATCTGCCCATTCTTGAGAGGTTTTGACTTTCTAAAGCTCCATGTCAGCAACCGGATTCCAGGAGCAAAGGAAGGGGATGCACTGGAAGCAGCATAGGGCCTCACCCGCCCACTCTGGGCTCCTGCTGATACCTGGATGGAGAAGACATAATTCTGGGAACCTGCTCTCCGGGGGCATGGTGGAGTTCTGAACACTCTTGCACAGCCTGGCAGGTGGGCCTCTGGGCAGTGACCATGTGGGCTGCTAGACCGGGTGACGCACATTCCCTCCCAGGGCTGCCTGGACCTCTCCCTGTTTGTCCTCCAGCCTGTGCGAGGCAAGCCCTCGCTTTCCTCTGTGGACCCTCTGCAGCTCCTTCCCTCTCCCAGATTTAGGAAACCGGATTGGGCAGAGCAGGGAGTCAGGTTCGGGTCTGGGGTGCTCCTCCTGGCAGTCCCCGCGCTGGCTCCTGTGGACGCACTTTTGGTCCCGCACAGGAGAGCAAGGGGTGGCGTGGGATGTATATCCATCCAGTGAGCAAGATCGAGTCCACGTAAGCTCGTGTATTGGGGGACAAAGGCGCGGGCACACCCCAACGTGAGGATCCTGGGTGACCAGCGGCGCCTGGGCCGCTCCTTGGACCCACCCGGAGCGCGGCCGGTTCCCAGCGGCCCCAGGTGCGTCCTCTGCCGGCCGCCCTCGTCCCGCCCACTCTGCAGGGGCCGGCCCTCGCGCGCTCATTGGCTCTGCCCGCCGCACCGGCTAACCCCACGCCGAGCGTCCATTGGTCTGTGTATGTCACATGACCGAGAGACCCAGGGGGCGGCGGCGGCGGTGGGGGAAGGAGCGCGGAGCAAAAACAAAGATGGCGGCCGCTCCGGGGTCGGTGGCCGCGGCAGCTGCGGGGCGACGCGCGGGCCGGATCCACTGAGGCGGAGTCGCAGGGAGCGGGGCTGCAGGGTCGCGGCGGCGGCAGGGCGGCGGCGGCGCGCGGCCCCCTAACCTTCAGCCTCGGGAGCGCTCCCTCATCCGCCCGCCGGGCCGGCCGGCAGCGATGTCCGGCGCCGAGGAGGCCGGTGGAGGCGGTCCGGCTGCGGGGTCCGCCGGCGCCGTGCCGGTCGCGGCTGGGCCCGGGGCGGCCGCAGGGCAGGCGGCCGCTGCCGCACTGGGCGAGGCGGCGGGGCCCGGGCTCCCGGACGAGGCGGGCCTGGCCGGCGCCCGGCAGCTGCAGGAGGCGGCGGGCGACCCTGACGCGCCGCCCAAGAAGCGGCTGCGGACGGCCGAGGCGGCCGAGGCGGCGGCGGGCAGCGGGAAGCTGGAGGAGCGGCTCTACTCGGTTCTGTGCTGCACCGTCTGCCTGGACCTGCCCAAGGCCTCCGTGTACCAGGTAGGGCCGCTGGCCCGACCCCGACCCGGCCAGGCCGGCGCCCCGGGCACCGCGTCTCCTCCTCCGAGGCCAGGCCCAGCGGTCGGGACTCCGGCGCCCGTTTGGAAGCTTCTCCTCCTCCTCTTCCTCCTTCCAGGATTTTATTTCCTGCTCGAACCCCTTCTTGTTCCGATCCCCCTGGTTTCCCGGCCTGGACCTTCCTCCCACCTCGATGTGTCTTTCCCCTGCTACCCCCCGCCGCCCTCCGCAGCCCCCCAAGCTGACCCTAGAGAAAGCGGGTGACAGATCCCCCCGCCCTAGCTTGCTCCCCGCATTGCTGAGCTGCTGGACTCCGGGAGCTCCTCTGTTCTTTCAGCAGCCACCTCCCCCAAACCTGCCCTCAGGCACCCCTTCTTCCTCCTGAGAGGAAGAACCCCCTCATCCTCCTTTTTTCTGAAAAAATACTGAGAGGGGATGCCTCTTCTCCCTCCCCCCATTTCTTTCCCGCATTCCGGTCTGAATGAAGCACCTGCATCCAGCGCCGGAGTCCGGGTCCCTTCCTAGTCTGACCCGGGGTCCCTAGAACATGCTGTGCCCGGGTGACTCCCAGCCCCGCCTGCCTCTCCCAGACCTGGTTTCCCAGGCTACCGCGCTCTAGGAGGTCTGTCCACGCTCCGCTGGTGCCTGTTTTCCCACTTATTAGCCGGTTCGGGGCAGTTCTGGAGGGTACCTGGCCCAGGTTGGTCTGAAGAAGGTACCTTAACATCAGGGACCACAGGCTGGCCCCAGAGTTAGTGTGCAGTGCCTGCCTCTGTCTCTTCACCTCAAGCCCTACACACACACACACACACACACACACACACACACATACACACAACACCCACCTGTCTGTTCCAGCCCCAGCACCCCGCTGAGGGATGAAGAGGCTCCTTATCACTCACAGGAGTTGGTTGGGCTTCTATCAGACCGGGGCCTGGGGGAGATGGCCATTGTTGTAATGAGCAGTTTGGGGCTGCGCTGGTTTACCATTTCCAACCTCAGGATCTCTCACCTCCTTTCTGCTGTGCCTGCGTGTGGTTGCTTAGGAGGCCCCTGGGATGCCGGACAGGAAGTGGGCCGAGTTCTCAGCCTCCTTCCTTGGTTTTGGGGAGCTCCTGGCCCGGGACACTGCAGGCCTTGGGCTTGGCGCTAGTGGGGGGCGATTCTCATAACTCCGCAGCCTGGGGCTGCACCTCTGGACTTGTCCTCTCTCAGCCCCTTCCTTGCCCAGGACCTTTGGTCCTCCCAGGTGGGAGAACTTCCGTGGACCTTTGAGTGACAGCCCAGGAAGCCAAGCCAATGGTATGGGGCCCCAAGGAAATTTGAGGGTCTCCTCACCCCACCCCACCCTCCAGTGAGTGGGCTGAAGCTGGACCTGGCACGATGGCTCCTAGTCCACTTAGCACGGAGAGCTAAGCTCTGCTGTGGCCAGAGCTGCTGGTGACCAGGCCTCTGAGCCTGGCTGGTTCAAACCGGCCCGCACTGTGCTGGAGTCGAGTAGCTGTGAGGCAGAAAGGCGCAGGGTCATCACTGACCATGGCCCTCCCCACGGCCGATGGCTCTACTCACGGCTTCCCTGAGAAATGTCTGCAGCAGGGAGAGCCCAACACCGAGCCCTGTGCAAGCCCGTCCTCCAGCGGCAGACACCTGGGTCTGGTGGGATGCTTTCCTTCTTGCCTCGAGGCAGGAGAAAGCCAGCACATGGGTCAGTGAGAGCCCTTGGCACTGTAAGGGCTGACCGGAGCCCTACCCCGTCAGAACTCGCTTTGGGTGCTGGAGGATCTGCCATGGGACGGGGCGCCTGGCCAGGGTGCCCAGCAGGGCTCGGGCCGGAACCAGGTGGGAGGGGCCGGAGAGCTGGGGGAAGGAGGGAAGGTTTATGGTGACTTGCTGCTGTGTGGTGTCCTGTTACACCCATAGTGACCCTGGATGGGGGCATCGAGGGCAGAAGCCCAGACAAACCTGGTTGGCACCAAAGCTGAGTGCTCTTGGGAGGATCTGGGTTCCACACGCTGCCTGGAAACATGGGGCCCAAAGCCTTCTGCACGTCCTGGGTCGTGCTCACTACTGGCCACCACCTGTGGGACTGGGCTCAGCCCTTCCCCGACTGCAGGCCTTCTTTGGGGAGCAGTGTTGGGCTGGTTTGGGCAACATTTCCCTGACCCCATCTGGACCCAGGCTCAGGGTGGGCAGCAGCCACCCTGTGCCTCTGAGAGCTGTCTCAGCTGGTGTCTGCTGCTCTTGGCACTGGCTGTGAGGACACTCCATGGGCCTGGAGTCACTGAGTGCTTGGTCCCTCGAAAGCTTACTCTCTGGCCACCAGACCCCACCTCCATCTCCCCAAGGAAGCCTTAGTGGTGGTCGGGGCTCGCCTTGGTGGGTGATGGGCCCATCACCTGCTCTCAAGTCTGAACCTCAGCCCTGCAGGCGGCTCTCCTGGCACGTCGTGGCACACGCCTGGGTCGGGCACTTGCTCAGGACTCGGCCACGAACAGCACTGAGGCCAGTGGGTCTCATCGAGGCCTGTGTGAGGTCAGGTCAGTGCAGAGCAGGTACAGCAGGTGCTGGCTTTCATGTTCTTTGTGTGGGTGTCCTTAGTGACTGGCCTGACAAGGTATGCGGCCTAAGAGGGCATCGCGATAGGCCCCTGGGTGGGGCAGAAGGGCTGCGTCTGCTCTGGATGCAGCGTGTGGTCACAGCCACGGGACCAGCCCCTTTGCCAGAGGCACCTTCTCTGAAACAAACAGCTTCGGTGCCTGGAGTGTGGAGCCATGGCCTGATCCCTCCCTCCCTCCCAGGCTCTCCCCTGCCCTTCACAGGAGGCCCAGTGCATCCCCACCCGGTTCAGACATTAGCTGAGGCCTTGAGCCATGGAGTGTGTCTGGAGGGAGGGGCCACGCAGCTCTTTCACTCCTCACTGGTGCTCAGCCAGAAAAGCTCCCTGTGACCCTCATCGGGGGAAGGCCCTTCTGGGAGGTGGTCTCAACTGGCCTCTGACCCCTGTGCCTACCGCTCATGGCCTCAGACCCAGGCCTGCTCCTCCAGCCTGTTCCTCCTGGGTCCCTTCCACCTGGTGCCCTCCTGCTCGTCCTCACAGGCCCTGCTGTGCCTCCTCAATGCCTCCTGTCACTGCCTGAGCTCAGCTCAGGCCCTGGCCCAATGGGCCTTTTACCGGATTGGTAAAGGGCTCAGGAAGCAGGCCGGTGGGTGTGGCACAGGCATTGGGGACCTTCACGGACACCTTCGTAGCAGCTGTCTGCAGGCCTGGGCTGTAGGCACTGTCCCAAGTAAGTCCAGGTGGGTTTGTCCTCCAAGGCCTGGGGTCCTCCTCCCTGCTCTCGGGCTGTGGCTGGGTCGTGCTTTTAGGCAAGACAGGTAGAGAGCAGAGTTTTAAATGTACCTGCTGAGGTGTCCACAGCCAGGACCGAGAGGGTTCTGGACTGGCTAGATGCAAAGCTGTTGGTGTGGTTTGTCCTGTGCGTTACCTTGTGGTCCAGGCAGCACCTAGTTCTGAGTAATGAGCCTGACTCAGTCGGAGTGACAGGTTCCCACCTGAGTCCTGGCTCTCGGGTGGCGTGACGTCAGGAGTGAGGGCCAGGACTGCAGACTGAAGTGAGGCTTGCACGGAAGCAGCTGGGTGCCTGGGGCGCTGCAGTCCCCCCCACGCACCTTGATCAAAGAGTGGAGGACACTTTGGGCGGAGATGTGGGATATGTGGTGCCCATGGCCCTGCTGAGCCTGGTGAGGGGGACCTCCCATGGCCTGAATGGCCTTTGTGGGTTTGGTGCCCCCAGCTGTGGCTGCTCAGCAGGAGGCGTCCAGATCTAGAGTGGCACGTGCCCAGGCCCAGGGGAATCCCATGTTGGTGCCCTGTCGGCCTTCCTGAGCCAGGTGCTCCGGATCTTGGCCTGAAGTTTCCTCCCGTTGCCAAGTGGTGAGTCGGCCGTGTCGCTTTCCTCCCTCTTCCCGAGGCTTTGGCAACATCGGGCTCTGTTGGCTCAGGTCCTTGGCGAGAGGAGTGTGATGTGGGTCCTTGATCTTCGCCTCCTAGGAGGTGGCAGAGGCCTGTGGCACTGGGGTCCCACTGACCCCTAGAGGTGCTTCTCCACCCTGCTCCTCCTCACCACTCCTGGGACCAGCTGTGTGTCCAGAGCTGGAGCAGCCTATCCCCTGCCAGACCTGTCCTCCAAGACTGAGCCAGCCAGCTCCCCACCATTTGCACTGACTTAGAAATTGAGGTTTGCGTGCAGATAGTCTGTGAAGTTTGTGTGGGCATGGATTTTGTTTGCACCAAGAGAACAGTCAGTATGAGTCTTTTTTTTATTTTTTATCATTGATTGATTTTAGGGAGAGAGAGAGAAGCATCGATTTGCTGTTCCACTTGCTTATGCATTCGTTGGTTGGTTCTTATATGTGCCCTGACCCGAGATTGAACCTGCAAACTTGGTATATCAGGACGACGCTCTGACCCATTGACCTACCTAGCCAGGCTCAGCTCAGCTCAGCTCTTTATTCTTGCACCTGTGTGGCTCCCGTGTGTGTCTCTCCTCCCCAACACTGAGCCTGTGGGGGCCCAGCCCATGGTCCACCGTGCCTGATCTTGGCACCACGTGGGTGCTCAGGGGTGTGTGGAGCTAGTGAGAGACCCACGGAGTTGAGCTAGCAGCTTGCTGTCCACAGGCTCAGGGCCTCGGTGGGAGTGGCGATTGATGATAGGCAATCTCTGGGCCTCAGATCTTCAGGTTCAGCAAAGGAGAGAGGCCTGGCTCTTACCCATGGCAGCAACATGTCCCCCTACCCTTTCCCCCTAACCATTTCCTCCCTCTGGCATGCACTGTCTGTGTGCCCTTGTCCCAGGCCAGCTCGGCCTCCTCACCTCCCCCCCACAGCTTTTGCCACCAGGTCTTGGGAAGGCACCTGCAGGTAGCCACCATCACTGTGTAGTGCAGCTGCCTGCTCACCCGTGCCCATCAAGGAGGCAGAGGGGAAGGGACCAGGTCCCAGCCCCAGCATGAGGCAGCCCTTCTGAAGGCCAGCGAAAGGCGCACCTGCCTCGGCACAGCAACGGCATCGGCTGCCACGCTCCACCAGGCGTCTGAGTTCCTGTAGGTGCCCAAACTGGGACCTCAGGACTGTCCCCGACTCCTGTTATGGGAAAGGCCAGGCTCCCCGCCAGCAGGCCTGCCTCGGTGATGAGCCTGAACCTCTGACACAGGCCGCCCTGGAGGCCGGCTCACAAGGAGCTGGCTTGCTGTGTCTCAGCAGGGCTCTCAGAAAGAGGCCTGACCCTCCCAAGCAGTGTCCCTGTGAGGGCTAAGCACCCAATGGAGCTGGCGGGCAGCGTGTGTGTGTGGGTGTGAGTGTGGGTGTGTGTACATGTGTGTACGTGCGAGTCCACAGGTCTGTGAGCTCATCTCCCTTTCCTTCTTCGCAGTGTACTAACGGTCACTTGATGTGCGCTGGCTGTTTTATCCACCTACTAGCAGATGCCCGGCTGAAGGAGGAGCAGGCCACGTGCCCCAACTGTCGTTGTGAGATCAGTAAGAGCCTCTGCTGCCGCAACCTGGCTGTGGAGAAGGCCGTGAGCGAGCTGCCCTCCGAGTGTGGCTTCTGCCTGCGCCAGTTTCCCCGCTCTCTCCTGGAGAGGCACCAGAAGGAGGAGTGCCAAGACAGGTAACTGCCCAGCTGCAGGCCGCCTGGGGCAGGCAAGGCCTCAGCGTGCACCGTGCTCTGGCTGGTGCCTGTTGCCCGGGCCTTGTGCTCTGCCCTCGGGGGGCTGGGCCACGTGAAGCTGCTCAGGGTCCAGAGGGCGGGGGGCTGGGATCTGTACGCAGTGGCTGTCTGGACGTCACCCTGGTTCTCTCGGGTGCTCTGGGTGTGAGATGGCCTCTTAGAGGCTGTCCTTGGCATCCCTGGGCTCAGGAGAGAGTGGCCCGCTCAGGAGCACGGGGGTCTCGGTGTGAGGCACCCCAGCCCAGTCCTGGCCCCTCCCCATTCCCCAGCAGCTGGGGCCTGGCCAGGAGCATCGCTTGGAGTGAAGCTGTACCGGGTCCGGGATAGTAGTCGGCAGCCACTGTTTCCAGGACGGAGATCCCACAACCGTGGGTGTGAGTGGCTTGTGCTCACACAGCTCCTTCTCTCCGTCTCACACTGTCCTCTTCCTGGTGGCAACACCCACTGAGTGTGTGCTTCAGGGAGCGGCTTGTGTGTGGCTGAATGGAGACCTGAGGCATAGGCCTTGACCACGGTGCCCCCTCGCCCCCAGGGTGACCCAGTGCAAGTACAAGCGAATTGGCTGCCCGTGGCACGGCCCCTTCCATGAGCTGACTGTGCACGAGGCCGCCTGTGCCCACCCCACCAAGACGGGCAATGAGCTGATGGAGATCCTGGATGAGATGGACCAGAGCCACCGCAAGGAGATGCAGCTCTACAACAGCATCTTTAGCCTGCTGAGCTTCGAGAAGATCGGCTACACAGGTGAGGCGTCCGCCACCCCCGTGGGCCACAGAGCCTGGGGCTGGCGGCTGGGAGCCTGGGAGCACCGGGCTCTGGGCAGTGGGCACAGGCTGAACCGGGCGGCTGGGCTCTGCACAAGCTCCTGTTGAGTGCAGAACACCTGGGGGAGAAGATGGACCAGAGGCTGAGCAGGGGAGGGGCTGGGCAGGACCTCGGGGCACCTGCATGGCTCTCACAGGCCCCTCCCACCCGTCGTCCCCACCCTGGCCCTACCACCTCAGCAGGTGGGGTCCTCGCTGTGTGTGGGATGGGTGGGGATGGCTCGGGGCCCAGAAACTGGTGGCCTGCCTCACAGAGCCGGGGCCAGAAGAACTCTCGTCACGTTGGGTCCTGCATGTGGGTGTGAGGCTGCAGTGGCCACAAAGCTTCCGAAGCCACAAGAAGATGCTCAGGGCCAGGGCTGCAGAACAAGCTGAGGGTGCCCAGCTCAAAGTGCAGAGCTGGAATGGACTCCCAGGGACAGGCAGGCTGGACCGCACTCAGCCCACTGGACCTCCTGGGCTCTCCTGGTCACTGCCTTCGGACATGCTGGGAACAGGAGCCAGGCCAGAGCCTGGTCTAGACACAGAACAGCCAGAAGCACCTGCTGATGCTGGGGCCGCTCAGGGAGACTCCAGCCTCTACGGCCCAGCCCATGCCGAGGGCCAGCTCAAAGCACCAAGGGCGGTCGCTGTGCTGCCTGGACTGGGCCTGGCTCAGTGTGGGCCTGCACGGCGAGAGGCTGAGGGCCTGGGGCCTGGTTAGTTGCAGCCTCAGTCTCCCGGTGGGCACCACGGCACAAAGAGCCCAGGCCAGACCTCGGTATCCGGGCAGGCCAAGGCGTCGTGACGTGGGCGGTGGCAGGGCAGGGAGCCCATCCGCTCAGGAAGGACTGGCCGCCTCTGGAGGGACAAGCCGGCCTTGGGCACGTGCTGTGCTGAGGACTGGACAGCAGAGCACAGCAGTGGGCCGCATGCCCACGCCCGACTCTGGCCAGATGCCACTTACTGGCCTGCCTGCCGGCTTCCTGGCAGCTCTGTATGGAACCAATAAAGTGCACTGTTCTCAGAACTGCATCCTGTCTATGTGTCTGCTTACCATGGCCCTGGGGTGGGCGGGGCCAGGAGGGAGGCCAGGGGGCGGGCTGGCCATCACCTCACTGCCTCCGGACTCCTGCCGCTAACGCGTGTCACTTCTCTCCCCAAAGCTTGTGTGCCTCCATTTGCCATAATTGCCTTTGATTTGCCTTTGACAAGTAGAGCACCCGTGTCCTCCTGGTAAGTTGCCTTCCTCCCTGGCTGAGCCTGTGTCCTCGGCTGGTCGGAAGGCACCACTACCAGCCCGGCCCACCCTGACTGCCGGCTCTGTCCGGCCTGTCTGTCTCCACAGAGGTCCAGTTCCGGCCGTACCGCACGGACGACTTCATCACGCGCCTGTACTACGAGACGCCACGGTTCACAGTGCTGAACCAGACGTGGGTCCTGAAGGCGCGCGTGAACGACTCGGAGCGCAACCCCAACCTGTCCTGCAAGCGCACGCTGTCCTTCCAGCTGCTGCTCAAGAGCAAGGTCACGGCGCCCCTGGAGTGCTCCTTCCTGCTGCTCAAGGGCCCCTACGACGACGTCAAGATCAGCCCCGTCATCTACCACTTCGTCTTCACCAACGAGAGCAACGAGACGGACTACGTGCCCCTGCCCATCGTGGACTCCGTGGAGTGCAACAAGCTGCTGGCCGCCAAGAACATCAACCTGCGGCTCTTCCTCTTCCAGATCCAGAAGTAGGCGCCGCTGCGCTGCCCACACCTGCCTGGCCGCGGCTTTGCAGTGCTGTCTGACCATCTCGGCAGAGGAGGAACAGGCGAGAACACGGGAAAGTCTGCATGCGTGTGCGAAGGTGTGAGCGCTCACCACCCGGCCATCCACCTGCCTCCCTGTCCAGGGCATGGAGGCTGGTCCAGGGACCCCGCAAGGCGAGCTCAGCAGACCTGCCGGCCTCTGTCGCTCGGCCAAGTGTCTGCCTGCCCCGGGCCGCACACAGCTCCTGGGCCGGCTCCAGCGCTGGCTTCAGACAGCGTATCTGATTGCAATTAAAAAGGCACCTTGTTTCCTACTTGCTGTTTTGTTCAAGGGTAAGGCGTGGCTGTGATTGGACAGTGGGGAAACTTTGGTGGCCTGGGGGTCAGAGCCGCTCATCCCTCAGTGTGCCCCTAGGAGACCCTCGGAGATGCTGCTTCCTCTGCCATAGGCTCAGCAGGGGAGTGGACAGGGGCAGGGGTCTCCCACAGCCTCCGAGCACCCCCAGCCACTCCAGGGAGGCAGGACTGGCCACCTGGGCTCGCGGACGTTTCGGAATGCAGGGTGAAATTCTGTCTCTTCCCAGGAAATAAATGAAATTCTCACAGGCTCCTCTGTAAGTTATGCAAATTAGCTAGAGAGAATCTCTCCTCTGTATTCAGCAGTGAGGGCACAACACCCTAGGCTGGAGGAAAGCTCGGGAGCCACTGGTGGTGGCGGAGCCTGGCTGGTGAGGGTCAGGTAAGCAGCTGCCCCCATGTGCTCGGGACCAGCTACTGGTCCTGCATCTGGGACCCACCGTGGAGGTCAGCGCCTGGGCAGCGTAGCTTCTCACGGGAAAGGTGGTCCCTTCCTAGACTTTGGTGTGCATCCCCTCTCCCCCTGAAACACACACCCAGGCCCCACGACCCTGCAGCCCAGCCCTAGGGAGCATGCCCGGAGTGTGGGCCTCAGGATAAAAGCAGCCCTGTCTGGAGGACCTGGGACCCTCACAGCTACTGGAGAGCCTCCTCTCCCTGCTCGGCCCCCCTCCCCCGCCTTCGCTAAGGAGACACAGCTTTTCATTGCTTCAATACCAAAGAATTGTTTCCTTTGCCCCCGGCCAGGCCCACCCTGTGCCTCAGAGCAGTCCTGTCGCTCTGACCCCACAGGGCTCGGTGGGCAGTGCAGCCACAGCTTGGCCTCTCTCTCAGGCTCCTCCCATTCCTGGCCCTCCACTTGGTTCTCCTGCCAGGCTGGCTCCCCAAGCTACTCTGAGGAACCTATTTGGCTTCCTGCTCCAGCCCAGGGCATGGGGTTTTTTGGGATCACTCGTCTGCAGATGGCCTGGCACTGTGGGGACCAGGAGGCACTTTACAAAGGACCCCACTGCAGCCCCTCTACCTGTTTCGATCTCAACTTGAACACACCCTGGGGTGAGTCCCACTGACCTCGACTGCCCTCCCCTCAATGGGCAAAAAGGAGACACTGAGGTAGATACATGTCAGGTGTCCTGAGTAAGAGACTGCTGTGTCACTGCATCTTGGCCTCTCTTGGGGACCGACACCCTCTCTTAAAGTTTCTGGATTTCCGAATGACGGTAGTGTGAAGGCATCCAGGCTGGGATGGAGCCTCCCAGTTGTGCTGGGATGGAGCCTCCCAGTTGTGCTGGGATGGAGCCTCCCAGTTGTGCTGGGTGGCTTGTGTGAGATGGAGTCGACGAGGGCAGCCCCAGTGGCTCTCCTGGGAACAGGGTGGGGTGGGGGGCAGGCTTCAGTGTGCAGGTGAAGGAAGGTATGTGGCTGCCTGGGACCAACAGCCTTGTGTGTGTGGCAGGAGGGTCCGCCCCACGTGAGGGCTTACAGCCCCCATTGCCCGCAGTCAGGGGCGGGTGAGGGTGTGGGACTGCGCCCAGGGCCCTCCCTGTAGGAGGTACAGGTGTGTCTGGACTGCCCAAGAGGACTGCTAACACATCCCAGCCGTGATGTGCAGCCAGGGGCAGCCAGGAACCCTGGTGAATTTCAGCTCCCATGGGGATGCCACGAACCTGTGGCATCATCTCTCTGGGCCACTGATTTACAGAGACACCAGTGGTCTGTCTCCAGGACACCCTGCCATCTTGGCATCCTGACCTGAGCGGGCGGAGGTATCACTTCTGCGGCTGTGGGGGCAGCCAGGCAGCGCAGACCCAGTTGCCTGCCTCTCAACCCCACTCCCTGCGAGCACTCCATTCTCGGTTCACCCAAAGCGAGACATTGCAAAAATAATAAAAGTAATTTTTTAAAGAGTGGCGTGAGAGGCGTTTTTACCATTGTTGGAAATGACGTACCTGTCACTTTTGTGGTCTGCCTTTTCTTTGGATATTTTCTGTATGTAACTATAGTTTTAAAAAAATTCCAAACCATGTTTTGTCTGTGTTTCTTTACGAGAAGACAGCCTGGGCTCGGCTAGTCTCCCAGCCAGGGCTCAGCCTCTGTGCCCGCTGGCCGCCAGCCTGTGGCCTCCCCACCTTAAGCCTCCAGCCCCTGCTCAGCACTATCTTGTATGTGCATATCCCTGTCTGATCTGTGGGGAAACTGAGGCATGGAGCAGCTGGGTCCTCTGAGGGGTAATCGGGCCCTCAGGCCCTGGGCTGCCTTAAGAATGCTGGTGTTGTAGAGGGTTCCCAGTCACCATCTTTCCAGAAGCTCCGCCCATTCAGCCAAGCCAGTCCACTTCCTGGTATTGCTCCCCCATCACCAGGCCTGCCTGGGTTCCCAGCGGAGCACTGCACTCTGCAGAAGAGGAGGAGGGTCTCAGGTCTAACTTCCTGCCTCTGGCAGCTCCTCAGGCTTGGCCTCGCCCCCCCACCCCTGTGGCATAGGCAGTGGCCCAGGGTAGCCTTTCTTGGACCTAAGAACCCATCTGCCCTCCACATCCCTCCCTCCTTAACAGCCGTCCTCCATCCACTGGGTGAGGCTTTACCCCACTGGGAGTCTTCTGATTTCCATAGGGAAGAAACACCCACCCCTGCCTGTGTGGCTCAGATGGTGGGGTCATCCTGTGCACCAGGAGGTTGCCAATTGTATTCCTGGTCAGGGCACATGCTAGGGATATGGGGTTGCAGGCTTGATCCCCCGTAGGAGGCATGCAGGAGGCAGGTGATCAATGTTCTCTCTCACATTGATGTTTCTCTCTAAAAACCAAAATATTTTTTATTTTTAAAAATATATATTTTATTGATTTTAAAATATATATATTTTATTGATTTTATACAGAGAGGAAGAGAGAGATAGTCAAAAACATCGATGAGAGAGAATCATCAATCAGCTGCCTCTTGCACACCCCCTACTGGGGATGTGCCCGCAACCAAGGTACATGCCCTTGACCGGAATCGAACCCAGGACCTTTCAGTCCCCAAGCCGACGCTCTATCCACTGAGCCAAACCGGTTTCGGCTATTTTATTGATTTTTTTTTACAGAGAGGAAGGGAGAGAGAGAGTTAGAAACATCGATGAGAGAGAAACATAGATCAGCTGCCTCCTATATACCCCCCACTGGGGATGTGCCTGCAACCAAAGTACATGCCCTTGACTGGAATTGAACCTGGGACCCTTCATTCCACAGGCGACACTCTTCCACTGAGCCAAACCGGTTTTGGCAAAATATTATTTTTTTAGACAAAATAAACACGTCCATCTCCCACTCCTTTCTTTCATGCCTCCTCTGGGGCCTCTGGGACGCCATCCATGGCACCCGGTGCCCTGGGCATGCCCAGGTGGCAGGGACTGAGCACCGGACTCTCCCAGGGTGGGGCCGGGGCAGGCGATCAGAGCCTGGTCCTGGACGCCCCAAGCCCACGGGGTGCAGACGTGCGCAGAGCTCCGCAGGAGCAGCCAGCAGGGCGCTGGGGCAAGTGCCACTCTTGCCGCCTCTCAGCACAGCCTGGACCTGTAGCTCTGACGGAGAAATACCGCCCTCCCCTGGCGGCACCGAGTTTGAGTCTCCAAAAGGGTCGGTAGTGCAGCCACATTCAGAGCGGATGTGCTCACATTCTCAGCCTGCGGATCACAGATCACCTCCTTCCTGAGGACAGTGCCCCCTTAGGAAAACTCGCACCTGTGGTTCGTTTGGTGTGTGTACGGGGGAGGGGGAAATCTGAGGGGCCGTGGCGGGGGCGGGGGTACCTTCGCATCCAAACGACCCGACCCGGAGTCCTGACAGGCGCCGCCCCCTCGCAGCTCTTCCGGCCCAGTAACAGCCAGACTACAGCTCCCGGGATGGTCCGGCGGCCGGACTACGCTTCCCAGGATGCTCCGCGCCGCGGGGCGGTGCTGGGCTTGCGCAGGGGCCAGGGGGCGAGGCCGCGAGAGCGCGGGAAGTCTGGTTTCCTCCCGGCGGCCGGATCCTTGCGGGACGCCAGAACGATGAGCCTGGATCGTGAGCTTCGCCGTAAGTTCCCGGCCGAGCGCCCGAGTGCGGGGGCCCGGGGCGGGCGCAGCGGAGAGGCTCACCTCCCAGCCTCGTTCTCTCTCCGTAGAGCTGCTCAAGGCCAAGGCCAAGGCCCAGAACAGCGGCCAGCTGCGCGAGGAGGCCGCCCTCTGCCACCAGCTGGGGGAGCTCCTGGCCAGCCATGGTGCGTCCCTCGCGGGCGACCGGGTGGGGCCGCGGCTGGGGTCGGGGGAGCTCGGGGTGGGGTCCGAGGCTGGGACCCGGGGAGCTCGGGGTGGGGTCCGCGGCTGGGGCTCGGGGAGCTCGGGGTGGGGTCCGCGGCTGGGGCTCGGGGAGCTCGGGGTGGGGTCCACGGCTAGGACCTGGGGACCCGGGACGGGTGCGGGGAGCCTTGCCCGGCGCGGTCCTCGGCCGTCCACCCGGCTTGCTGAAGCCCGCCCACCTGCACCCAGGCCGCTACCCTGAGGCCCTGCAGGAGCACCAGCAGGAGCTGCGGCTGCGGGAGAGTGCCGAGGACGCCCTGGGCTGCGCCGTGGCGCACAGGAAGATCGGGGAGCGGCTGGCGGAGATGGGGGACTACTCAGCCGCCTTGAAGGTGGGCGTGCCCACCCAGCACCCAAGCTTGCCAGACACAGACCTCCCGAGCCTGCCCTTCGTGGGGGTTGGGGGTAAGGGAGGAAAGGGTCCCTTTCTTTCCTTTTTATTGATTTTATTGATTGAGAGAGAAAAGGGAACAGAGAGAGAGAAATATCAATGATGAAAATCAGTGACTGGCCGCCTACTGGGGATGGAGCCCACAAACCTGGCTTGTGCCCCAACCAGGAATTGAAATGGGACCTCCTAGTTCATAGGTCCATGCTCAGCCACTGAGCCACGCTGGCTGGGCAGGGGTCCCTTTCTGAGGACAGAGGAACAGCCTGCTGTCCCAGCCTCTGGCTAGAGGGGGCCGTACCGCGACTGGGCGGGCCAGTGGGTGGTCCCCGGGTCCTTGGGTGGCTGCTCTCCTGGGAGCTTGGCCCCAGAAACAACCGTTCATGAACCACAACTTGAGCTGTTTGTGTGGACTGGGGGGTGAGGGTCAAAACCCACTGTTCACACAGAGCCGACCCTGGCCCTTGCTGCCGGAGTGCAGGAGCCCGGCTAACCTTCATGCCTTATTCCTCCCTTAGCCTGGCATTTGCCAGCGTCCCCATGGGCAGCCCTTGGCATAGAGGAGGTGCTGGGGGGAGGGGTGTCCCAGGGAGCAGGGGGCTCTCCTGTGTAAGCATAGGGACCCCCCGGAGTTGAGTGACCTGTGGGGTTTGGGTTGGTCACAGCCCCTGCCCCCCCTGTGCCCCAGCACCAGCAGCACTACCTGGAGCTGGCCTGCTCCCTGTCCAACCACACTGAGGTGCAGAGGGCCTGGGCCACTATTGGCCGCACACACCTGGACGTCCATGACCACAGCCAGTCGCAGGAGGCCCTGCTGCAGGCTCAGGCCGCCTTTGAGAAGAGCTTGGCTATTGTGGATGAGAAGCTGCAGGGTGAGTGTGCGGGGTCAGGCCTCCCACCCTCTGCCCCTGCCGGCCTCTGTGGTGGGTTCTCCTGCCTGGGCCTCCCCTGGCGGGGCCGGGGTCTGTTCTTAGAAGCCCCCTCGTGTCAGGGCGCCCTGTCTGTGCTCCTGGCAGTCCGTTGTCTTCCTCCACACTCTGTCGGCGGCACGACCCCTGGGACCCCCGATAAGAGGCAGAGGAAAAGGGGTGGGGAATGGGGTCCAAAGCTGGAGCCCCCACCTGGGGTCACGGCCCTGCGTGTCTTAGAGGGGTCGTCTTCCAGGGATGTTGCCCAAGCGGGAGCTGAGTGAGATGAGGGCCCGCCTCTACCTCAACCTGGGCCTCACCTTCGAGAGCCTGGGGCAGAGGGCCCTGTGCAACGACTACTTCAAGAAGAGCATCTTCCTGGCCGAGTAAGCCTGCCCCCTCTGCCAGGAGGGAGCTAGCTCTCCTATCACTAGAGGAAGCAGCCCTGGGGTTAGGGGGCAGCCTGGTGGGTCTGCCAGGGGCCAGGGGCGGAGCTGGGGGGCTGCTGGGCCAGGTGGCGTTTCTCAGCAGCCGCCCTCAGAGCTCCGGGGTCCGGCTGGCACCTCGGGCACTCACGCTCGTCACCCGCAGGCAGAACCACCTGTACGAGGACCTGTTCCGCGCCCGCTACAACCTGGGCGCCATCCACTGGCACCAGGGGCAGCACTCGCAGGCGATGCGCTGCCTGGAGGGGGCGCGGGAGTGCGCGCGCACCATGCGGAAGGGGTTCATGGAGAGCGAGTGCTGCGTCCTCCTTGCGCAGGTGCCCTGGGGTGCAGGGTGTGGGCGCCCTCGGGGTTCGGGCAGGTGCCCTCGGGGTGCAGGGTGTGGGCGCCCTGTGGGTGTGGGCGCAGCCGCGGGCTGGCTGGGCCCTGGGAAAGCAAGCCTCACCTCCCTCGTCCCCCAGGTTCTCCAGGACCTGGGTGACTTTCTGGCTGCGAAGAGGGCGCTGAAGAAGGCCTACAGGCTGGGCTCCCAGAAGCCTTTGCAGAAGGCGGCTGTGTGCCAGACCCTCAAGTACGGTGAGCCTGGAAGGGGGGACCCCGGGAGCTAAGGGCTCCCCTTCCTTGGCAGAGGGGCTGGGCATGTGTCCTTGGGGAGGCGGCAGCCCCAATTCCTATTGGGAGGAGAACCCCACTTCTGAGTCTATAGCATGGTGTGCTCAGGGGCCACGAGGGTGGTCAGGAGCCGAGGCGTTTCCACGTGAACTGGCATCCTCGCAGAGAGACAAAGCCAGCGTCATCTCGTAACCCTTGCAACAACCCCCAGGGCTGATGCTCTGCCTGCCCCTCCTCACCAACGGCCAAACAGGCTGGGCAGGGTGGTGGCCCGCCTGAGGGCACGGAGCCGGTCCTGTGTCTGCCGCCCCCTTGCATGAGGCTCTTCCCGGCAGTGCTGGCCGTGACCCGGCTGCAGCAGCAGCTGGAGGAGTGCGAGAGCAGTGACCCTCAGAGCGCCATGGGCATCTGTGAGCAGCTGGGGGACCTGTTCTCCAAGGCAGGCGACTTCCCCAGGGCCGCGACGGCCTACCAGAAGCAGGTGCACACCGGCTGGAGGGGAGGGGGAAGGTTGGGGAGGGGAAGGAGGGCTGGGGAGGGGAGGGGCTGCAGTGCTCCGGCCCAGAAAGTGTGCAGCAGCCGCCCTGTCGCACCCCCAGCTGGACTTTGCGAAGCTGCTGAAGAGGCCAGGGCCCGAGCTGGCCATCATCCACGTGTCCCTGGCCGCCACCCTGGGAGACATGAAGGATCCCCGTGGGGCTGTGCGCCACTATGAAGAGGAGCTGAGGCTGCGTCAGGGCAACGCCCTGGAGGTGAGCCACGGCACGCCCGGGGTCTCTGCCCCTGTGCCCACGGCTCTGCCGGGACTGCCACCTGGTGCCCGCACAGGTGGGCATTTCATTTGCCGGGGCAGCCATCACAGAACCCGTTTATCTTCCTCTCACTCCAGGAGGCCAAGACCTGGCTGAACATTGCCCTGTCCCGCGAGGACGCCGGTGACATCTACGAGGAGCTGGCACCATGCTTCCAGAAGGCTCTCGGCTGTGCCCAGCAGGCTCAGCGGCCCCAGTTGCAGGTGTGGCCTCGTCCACCCAGCTGGTGCCCTTGTCCCCGTCCCGGGTCTCCCCCCGGGGTGGCTGGCGACCCTGTGGCCCTGACTGGGCTTCGCCTGCTCCGTAGAGGCAGATCCTGCAGCACCTTCACACGGTGCAGCTGCGGCTGCAGCCCCAGGAGGCCCCTGGTACGGAAGCCAGGCTCCGGGCGCTGCGTGTGGACCAGGACGAGGAGGAGGAGGACGGCGAAGGGGAGGAGGACAGCGACACCCCGGAGGCCAGCGAGGTGGAGCTCTCAGACAGCGGTGAGGCCTGAACCAGGCCGGCGGCCCTGCCCCTTCTCCCCTTCGCTGCTCAGGCTGGCCCGGGCTGCGGTTGGTGAGGATGGGGCCTGGTCACAGGTCGGATAGGAGACAGCTCCATGCCAGGAGGTGGCAGTGCCGTGAGGTGGGCAGAGGGGTGCACAGGAGGCCTGGGCAGCATCGGTGACAGGAGCTGGTGGGCGCCCAGGGGGAGGCAGTGCAGGCTTGATCTGCAGAAAGGGCACTTGGAGCTCACGGCAGGTGAGAGTGGAGCTCAGCGCTTCCTGAAACGGTGCTGTGGGTTCCCTGGGCGGCCGAGGTCAGCCTGTGGCAGGTGGACATGAGGGACAGTCTGAGCGGGCATGGGCTGCACATCTCGGGGCAGTGGGGGCAGAAGGGAGGGCTGGGCCTAGGAGAGAGGCTCAGTGTTGGACGTGAGAGGCTCTTGGTGAGCGTCCAGGGCAGGTGGGAGGTTTGGCCTTGGCTGAGGGGGTGGAGGGAGAGGGCTGGGTAGGGAGGGTTGGAAGCGGGGCTGGGTCAGTGGGGAGAGCTTGGGGGGGGCTGGGTTGGGGGGGAGGCCTGGGCAGGGGGGAGAGGGCTGGTTGGGGAGGGCTTGCTCACCGGTGCCCGCTTGGCTTTCAGAGGGTGAGAGCCAGTCCCAGGACCTAGAGGAGGAGGAGGAGCTGCGGGGCTGCCTGAGACGGCAGCAGGTGAACAAGGTGAGGCCGAGGCCGGGGGCAGGGGGTGGGGGGCTGGTCCCTCTGCCTCTGCCCCCAACACGCGTGTTCTCGGCGCCTGTGCCCGCAGTGGAACCGGCGCAACGACGTGGGGGAGACGCTGCTGCACCGAGCCTGCATCGAGGGCCAGCTGGGCCGCGTCCAGGACCTCGTGCGGCAGGTGGGCCCGCCCCCACCCTGTGGGTCCACTACCTGCCCCAAGGGGAGGGGCGGGAGGCTGCTGGCCCTTGGCTCTGCCTGCCTCTGCCTCGTGGTGGGACCGCCAGGCCAGGCTGCTGGCGGACTCTGGGACTCAGGCCTCAGCCCTGAGGGGGCCAGGCTGTGGGGCACTCGGGATCAGGCTCCTTCCATCCTTGGTCACAGGGTCACCCCCTGAACCCTCGGGACCACTGTGGTTGGACACCCTTGCACGAGGCCTGCAACTACGGGCATCTGGGTGAGCGCGGGGCCGGGGCCTGTCACACAGGGCAGGGTCCGAGCAGGGTGCCGGAAGCTGGCTCACATCTTCCGTCCACAGACATCGTCCGCTTCCTGCTGGACCACGGGGCCGCGGTGGACGACCCGGGCGGCCAGGGCTGCGAGGGGATCACTCCGCTGCACGATGCTCTCACCTGCGGCCACTTTGAGGTGGCCGAGCTGCTCATTGACCGGGGGGCGTCGGTCACCCTCCGCACCAGGAAGGTGAGCAGGGCCAGGGGCCGGTGGGCACGGCCACGGTAGGCGGGTCTGTGCCCACCGGTGCCACAGCTGGGTGCCACACAGGGCCACAGCCCGCTGGAGACGCTGCAGCAGTGGGTGAGGCTGTACCACCGGGACCTGGACCTCGAGACACGAGCAAAGGCTGGCGCCATGGAGAGGAGGCTCAGGGAGGCCGCCTCGGGCCGAGGCAAGTGGGGACCTCCTGTCCTGGGGACAGCACCCCTGCCTGGAGGGTTTCCTGGGCTTTGGGCATTTCCCGTGGGTAGCAGGGGTGTGCAGGGCCCACCTCACCGCAGACCCCTCTCCCCACAGCTCCCCACAGCCCCCTGGCTCCCCGGAGCCTCCCGAGGGACCGTCTATTTGACCCCGAGACCTCTCCTTCCTCGAGCCCCTGCCCAGCGCCCCTGGAGGCCTCTCAGGCCGGTGCCAGGGCCTGGGAGGCACCGGCAGCGCCGGCTGTGGCCAGGCCGCGGAGGAGCAGGCACCAGCTGGCCAGCAGCAGCAGCAGCTCGGAGGGCGAGGACAGCGTGGGCCCCTCTGGGGCCCCCCAGAAGAGGCCTCGGCACTCTGCTCCAGCACGGCGAGCCGGGGCCTGCGTGCTTGACCACGTCAACAACAGGCAGGCGGCAGCAGCTGGCCCTGCAGCCTACCGGGCGGCCATTCGGGGCGTGGGCAGCGCCCAGAGCTGCCGCCCCAAGCCTGGCCCACCCCGGGGCCCGGGGGAGTCCGCCCCTGCCACGGCAGCGCTGATCCCTGAGGAGGAGCATCTAGCCGGGGACTGGCTGGAAGAGGACTTGCTGCCGCCCCAGGGCGGCCGCCCACCCCGCCCCCAGAGCGGCGGGTACAGGGCCAGGCGCAGCGCCTCGGAGTCCAGCGGGGACGAGAGTCCCGTCAGGCCCCGGGCCCAGGCCAGGCAGAGCCAGCTGCCCTGTCTCAGGGGCAGGAGTGCCGCGGTCCGAGCAGGCGGAGACGGCAGCTCCGGCACGGAGCCCCTGCAGAGCCCTCACGCCCCCAGCAGCGGGGACGCCCCCCCGGCCGGCCTTTCCTCGGTGGGTGCTCAGGCCGATGGGTGCTCCAGCGGGAGCAGCCCCAGCCCCTAGCTCGGGGGCAGGGCAGGGCCAGGGGCCGTTTTTTCTGACTGCTATCCCTCTCTGCCCCTTCCAGGGGCCGGTCCTGCCTCCTGCCATCCGGGTTCGCGTTCGCGTTCAGGATAACCTTTTCCTCATCCCCGTCCCACACAGGTAAGGCGTCCCCGCTCCCTCTGTGCCCCTGTGGGCTCTGCAGTGGCAGTCGAGAACCCTGGTGTTGGTGCATTTTGTGCATCTGGTGGAGCCCGTCGCCTTGCTGGCGCTGGCACGCCCTTTCAAGGGCCTGGTAGCTGGGGTGGGGCCACAGGCAGGGGCGAGGGAATAGCATAGGTGGGCCCTGGGGTGGCCGGGAGGCCCTGTGGCCCCTGGGAGGGGCAGGGGAGCTGGAGGCGGCATGTGGGGAGGGGAGGGAAGGAGCCAGAGCATGAGGGTGGGCCCGGGGGCTTTTCCTCAACTGTGCAGGGCTGTGGCCAGGGCCAGGCTCAGCGCAGCCTCTGGTCCCACAGCAAGGAGGCCCACTCCGTGGCCTGGCTGGCCGAGCAGGCCGCCCAGCGCTACTACCAGGCCTGCGGGCTGCTGCCCAGGCTCACCCTTCGGAAGGAGGGGGCCCTGCTGGCCCCCCAGGATCCCATCCCTGATGTGCTGCAGAGCAATGAGGAGGTAAGTGGTGGAAACCAGGCCCAAGGGTGGGTGTCCCCGGTGCTGGGTCCCCAGGGCTGCCTGCCTATGGTGCTTTCAGGTGTTGGCTGAAGTGACCTCGTGGGACCTCCCGCCGCTGACGGACCGGTACCGCAGGGCCTGCCAGAGTCTGGAACAGGGTAAGAGCCCAGGAGGCTCCCGGTGGTCTGGCTGAGGAGCTGGGCATGTGCTCCACACTGTTACTGGCTCTGCCAGGTCCCCAGGTCTCCACACCTGTCCTTGGGTCTTCCTCCCTTGCCAGTACCCCTGGTGTGGGCAGTGTGTGGGGGAAGCGATGTGGGACCTTGTAGAGACCTCAGAGCTGAGAGGCTGGGCCAGGGTTGGCCAGGCAGGAAGTCTGGCGCCTCTGGGAGCTGCCAGGCTGAGAGGTGGGGAGGGCCTCCTGGGGCAGACACAGGTCTGCACACCACCAGCCTGCCCTGGGGCCCACAGGCTTGGGGCAGGTGGGCTGGAGAGTGAGAGGGACTGTGCAGGTTTCAGGGGGCAGACAGGCTGGCTCTGGCCCTGGTGACACCACGTCCCTTTGCAGGGGAGCACCCGCAGGTGCTGCAGGCCATGGAGCACCAGAGTGTAGGCCCCTCCTTCAGCGCCTGCTCCCTGGCCCTGCGCCAGGCCCAGCTCACCCCCTTGCTTCGGGCCCTAAAGCTGCACTCTGCGCTCCGGGAGTTGCGCCTGGCCGCAAACCGGCTGGGGGACGGCTGTGCCGCCGAGCTGCTGGCCACACTGCACACTTTGCCTGGCCTGACCCTCCTCGACCTCTCTTCCAACCACCTGGGCCCGGAAGGCCTGCGCCAGCTTGCCTCCGGCCTCGTGGGACGGACCACCCTGCAGGTAAAGCATGGGGAGCAATAGGCCAGAGACGGTGGGAAGAAAGGCACACGTGGTGTGCTGACTGGCGCCCAGCTCTGCGGGGAACGGGGGCCGCGGACATCCGATCCCATGGGGGCCTGTGTCTTCCCAGAACTTGGAGGAGCTGGACTTAAGCATGAACCCCCTCGGGGACGGCTGCAGCCAGGCCCTGGCCTCGGTCCTGCAGGCCTGCCCTGCACTCAGCACTCTGCACCTCCGGGCCTGTGGCTTCGGCGCCAGTTTCCTCCTGAGTGACCAGGCAGCCCTGGGCCAGGCCTTCTTAGGTGAGCTGACCACACGTCCACTTCCTGGCCCCAGGGTTCCAGTTGCCATCAGGAGGGCGTGTGCAGGAACTCAGCCTTGAGCAGGGGGCGCCTGGGGCATTATGTAGGCAGACAGACATGGTAGGAGCATCTGGTACTTTCCCAGTCAGATCCTACCACAAGGCAGAGCCCCAGCTTCACTGTTCTCACCAGCTCAGTCCGTGGCCCGAATCATTCCACGTACACCCAGCAGGGCTGCAGAGAGCCAGGTCGCAGCGCCAAGGCTGGGTCAGTGGCTCCCAGAGGGCCTTTCTGCAGCGGTGGAGGGGCTGTGAGCAGCAGTGGGGGAGCCTGGGGTTAGGGCAGTGGGGGAGTGCTCCCAGGCCCCACCCATATTCCGTTAGGGCCTCTCTCAGGTGCCCTGGGTGTCTTGTCGTGGGTCAGGGCAGACAGAGGCCAGAGACATGGGGAGAAGCTGGGCTCAGGAGTCTGGCCTGCCCCCATCCCCAGGCAGGAGGCCTGTTCCCTGTGCACAAGGTCTTGGCGACAGCTCCCCGAGGAGAGGGTCCAGGACTCTGCAGCTGGGCTGGGTGGTGCTGACTGCGCTTCTGGCCCCTGGTTCAGATGCCAAGCACCTGAAGACCCTGTCCCTGTCCTACAACATCCTGGGCACCACCGCCCTGGCCCAGACCCTGCGCAGCCTGCCCGCCCAGACCCTCCTGCACTTGGAAGTCAGCTCCGTGGTGGCCAGCAAGAGTGACTCGGGCCTGGTGGAACCCATGGTCAGATACCTGACCAAGGTACATGGTTGGGCCAGACACCGAGCCAGGGGAGAGCCCTGGGCACCCAGCCAAAGCCTGGGGCGGGGGCTGGGAGGGCCTTGCAGGTTCTCAAGAACAGCCTGGGGAAGCTTCCTGCCCCAAGCAGGTCCGAAGGAATGTCAGGCCTCCTGGTGCTCTCTCCTGGGGGAACTTCCGGGCGGGTGGGGAACCCACGATCTCAAGTCGTTCTGATCTACAAATTGAGGGGCTGCTGCCCTCTCACCCCTAAGATAGAAGGAAGGAGTCTGGCCTCCCTGGGCGCCCTCTGGGACCCACTCACTGCAGCCTTGGCCTCTGTGTCTAGGAAGGCTGTGCGCTGGCGCACTTGAACTTGTCTGCAAACCACCTGGGTGACCAGGCAGTGAGAGACCTGAGCAGGTAACACTACCCTGCCCGTGCCCCACTTCCTGGGGGGAATCTTGGGGGGCACTAGATCAGGGAAGGGGAGCAAGATGGTACCAGCTCCTTCCTGAATGTGCCCCAAGCCTGGCCACGACCACCTTGGCCCCTGGCAGTGCCCTGACAGACACGGAGGAACGCCTGAGCCTGTGCCTGTGCCAGGAAGGGGGCGAGACCTGCTGGGTTATCCGTGGCCTGCAGAGCAGCTTCCCCAGTGATGGGGCCTCCCTCCCTGGAAACTGACCCCTTCACTCCTCCCTCACCCAGATGCCTCCCGCTTTGCCCCTCACTTGTCTCGCTGGACCTGTCTGCCAACCCCGAGATCAGCTGTGCTGGCCTGGAGGAGCTCCTGTCTGCCCTGCAGGAGCGGCCCCAAGACCTGAGCTTCCTGGGCCTGTCCGGTGAGCGCTGGGGATGGTGCCACATCGGCCACACAGGGGCTGGGCACACAGCTTCCTCCTCAGGGACCTCCTGCGGCCCAGGTGCCCCCTTTGAAGGGGCTGTCACTGCCACTAGCCAGAAGCTGGGGTAGGCTGGGCGCCTTGCAGCTGACACAAGATAAGTAATTGGAAGGGGGTAAAGGCTGCCACTGAGGGGCCTTTCCAGTTCTTGCTCGCCGACCCTCCCTTCCCAACCTGTGGCTTGTTCTGGTCGGCGTGCCCAACAGCACCCAGGGGAGACTGGCAGCAGCCTGGCTCATTCAGCGGGAGCCTGGGCAGGAGAGCTTGGCTGGGGGTGGGTACTCAGGAGCCTGGTTCTTCCTGCTCCTCCAAGTGGCCGATCTCCCCCCTGGCCTCCTGGGGTTCCACCCTCACCAAGCCTTGGGTCCTGAGTGTACCAGGCCTGAGCCTCACAGGCACCCCTACTGTGTGCTCCTTATGGATGGAAAAACCGGGCGTTGTCATGGACACTCAGAGGCACAGATGTGGACGCCGTGTTTATTTCCACCACCCTCCCTCCTGCCTGACCGCGGGGAGAGCACCCCTTCCCAGAGTGGCCCACACCTGGGGTCCTGCGTGTTCCTTCCCCGGGCCAACTGGTCACGAGGAAGGGTACGCGGGCTGGGGCGGGGCCCCCGCCGGCCTCCCCGCTTTGCTGGGAGCAGCTCCCTGAGGCCTGCTCCCCCGCCCCCCTTGCAGGCTGTACAGTCCGCGGTCCCCTCGGCCCCCGCCTCTGGGACAAGATCGCCGCGCGGCTGCGGGAGCTACAGCTGTGCAGCGGGCGGCTCTCCGGCGAGGACCGGGCCGCCCTGGGCCAGCTGCTGTCCGGACAGCCGGACCCCGCCTGCACCCTGGACCGAGGCTCCCGGCTCTTCTTCCAGCGACTCTGATAGCCCAGCGGGGCCGTCGCCCCTTCCCCCCTCCAGCCCCCCAATAAAGCACTGCTGCCGCCTCACCGGCTGCCTGAGAGGGGCGGGAGGCGGTGTCGGTTCTGCTGCGGGGAGGCAGCCGCGGGATCGGGGGTCGGGCAGGTGCTGCCGCTGGAGGGGCGGCGCGACTTGCGCGCGGAGCTCTGCGCCGACTTCCGGGTCCCGCTGCGCCGGGTGGGGTTCCTGTGTGCGCATGCGCGGCGTGGCCGAGCGCCGAGCAGTCGATTGCGGCCCCGCCCCGGCGCCATCTCCGACGCGGCGCGGCTCCTGCCCAGGTACTCGGGGCTGAGGGCGGGCCGGCGCCGCGGGCCCGACGAGGAGGGCGGCTGCGAGCAACGCCGCCCCGCGAGGGCCCCTCGCCTCGGGTTCCCTCTCCGGTGCCGGGGTGGCGCCCCACGGGTGGGTGGGCAGCAGCCCCCGGCGGCTCCCCCGGGCTTGGTGGCGGCCGTGGCCCCGCGGCCACAGCCTTCCCCGGAGACTCGCTTATCCGGCCCGGAGTCCGGTTTGTGGGGTTTAGTCTCGTGCTCGCCTGTCACCGGGGTCCGTGGTGTGCGTGTCTGAATGGAATGGAATCCGGCGACTCCCCGCCCCCGGGGGGGCCGGAGGGTCCTCAGGCTCCGCGTCCCGCCCAGGGGCTGCCATCCGGCGCCCGCCCTCCCCGCCGCCCAGCCCCTGCCCTCGGTGACCCCGGCCCGCAGCCGCTCAGCTGCCCGCCCCCGGGGGACGCGCCGCCTCGGCACACGGCTCGGTGTCTGATGGAGCCTCAAACTCGGCATCTGAACCGGGCACACTCCCCGCACCCCGCCTCCACCCAGCTCCTTATCACGGCCCCTGGGACCCAACGGGGCTCACTGTTGACTCCCTATGCCATTTCGAGTCCTGCGGACCGAGGGCGCACCCCCTGCCTGGGCCCTGCTTCCTGCCCACGCCCTCCCAGCCCAAGAACCTGCCCAGTCAGGAGCTCCTGGCCTGGGACACCCCTGACTCAGTACCCCGGCTCTCTGTTCCCCCAAATCAGACCTTAGACAAAGCCCGCCCTCCTGTGGTCCTGGCCAGTGGGCTCGGGGTCGAGCATCCTCCCATGCACAATGTCCTGGTTCCTTCCAGTCAGAGCACATGCGAGTGGCAGGCCTGATCCCCGAGAGGAGGGGGAGGGGGGGCGTGCAGGAGGCATCCTATGGACGTTTCTCAAACATGGGTGCTGTTCTTTCTCCCTGTCCTCTCTCTCAAAAAACTACCTATACCTGTGCTGTTTCCTCTGCCCAAATGCTCCTCCTGGTCCGCCCCGCTTCCCGGCCAGCAGGCTCAGCAGCCTGCCCTTCCCCACACCGTGGCTGCTCTCCTTTAAAAACGTTTTATTTTTAATTTTTTGGGGGGGTGCATTGACTTGTTCCACATATTTATGCAGTCATGGTGTGTGCCCTGGCCAGGGGTCAGACCCCTGACCTTGGTGTATGATGAGGATGCTATGGGGGCAGGGCCATCACCGCTCTCCTGAGATGCTTCCCCTTGGGGCGGGGTGGGGGGGGCACACAGCACCACTGCCCTGAGTTCATTGCTGTTTCTTGTCTGTCACGCCCAAGAGCAGGAAGCTCTTCGCAGGGCGTCGGGTGCCCCTGAGTTGGTGCTGGTTCTGCTCCTCAGGTCTCTGCTGTGGCCCCCGGAGCCTCAGGATGTTCCACGGGATCCCAGCCACGCCAGGCGTGGGAGGTGAGCTGGGTCTGGGGACCGGAAGGGCCCAGGCTTTTAGCCCCTGCAGCAGAGGTGTGGCCGAGGGCTATGGGAGCATCCCTAAGTGTCCCCCGATGTGGGGTTGTAGCCTGGGGTGGTCTCTGGAGGGGCTGGACTGGGGTGGTGGACAGACTGCCAGCTCTCCGCCTGCTCTGTTACAGCCCCTGGGAACAAGCCAGAGTTGTATGAGGTGAGTGGCGGGCACCCCTGCCTGGTTGGCACTGACCCACAGCGTATGCCCATGTGAACACCACCCTGGTGCCAACGTGCTACCCCTCTCTCCAACAGGAAGTGAAGCTGTACAAGAATGCCCGGGAGCGGGAGAAGTGAGTGCAGCATCCCCCCGCCCTCACTCTACCCTGAACCGCCTCCACACCAGGGTCAGGAGACGTGGGTCGGAGCTCTGCCGCACGGCAGCTCCCGTGGGCTGGTGCCCAGCCTGCGGCCTCGAGGCCTTGGCTGACGGACACGCCCTCCCCAGGTACGACAACATGGCAGAGCTGTTTGCCGTGGTGAAGACCATGCAGGCCCTGGAGAAGGCGTACATCAAGGACTGCGTCACCCCCAACGAGTGAGGCCCGGGGCCACTGCACCCATAGAGGGGCCTTTCAGGGTGCTCAGGAGACGGGGGAGAGGGGAGAGGGATCTGCATGGGGCATCCATCTCCCATTCCGGGCTGGAGGGCGCCCCTGGGTGCTGGCAGCCCGGGCGCCTTCTGCAGCATCCCCATGGAGAGGTGCCCACGCCCTGCTCCCAGGGTTCTCCAGCCTGCTCTCCCGGGGGCACATGTACTGTTGGCGAGGACTTCCGCAGGCGAGCAGGGAGTCGGGAGGGACGCCGAGGCGCTGCTGAGCCTGGCACCCAGGAGGCTCAGCAGCCTGTATTCAGGGGGAAGGCCCACCCGGAGGCCCCGAGCCGGGTGTGGAGGCCCCGAGGCGGGGTGTGGAGGCCTGACCAGCACAGTCCGGCGGGGAGAGCCTCTGCCAGCGCTGGGCTCTAGCTGATCTGCGGTCCAGGCCTAGTTCCCACCCCCCCACCCCCGCCCCAGAACCTTCTCTGTAGACCCGATGGAAGGTCTGTCCCGCAGTGGCCCAGCTCTGACTGGTCACCTGCCCCCTCCTCCCCAGAGCGGCCTGGGCGGGGGCGGACGGGCGGCGGGCTGGCTGAGCAGGTCCTCTCCCCAGGTACACGGCGGCCTGCTCCCGCCTCCTGGTGCAGTACAAAGCCGCCTTCCGGCAGGTCCAGGGCTCGGAGATCAGCTCCATCGATGAATTCTGCCGCAAGTTCCGCGTGAGTTTGTGGGGGGTGCGGGGGGAGGGGGGTGCGACATGGGTGCTGTTGGAAGGGGTGTGGCCAACTCCCACATGCCCCCCCCCCCAGTTGGACTGCCCGCTGGCCATGGAGCGGATCAAGGAGGACAGGCCCATCACCATCAAGGACGACAAGGGCAACCTCAACCGCTGCATCGCTGACGTGGTCTCGGTGAGCCCCGTGCGGCCCGGCTTCCGGCTGCTTCCCCGGCTCCTCACTGGCTTAGAATGAGGGCGCAGGCCGCTCCCCTGGGCCACATCCAGCAGGAGTCCCCTCCCCCCACCCCCCCAGCCTGAGACCCACCTGAACTCCCGCGGGCAGCAAGGTGGATGAACCCCAGGGGTGGGAGCACAAGTGTGGGAGGAGCCTCTGGGCCAGCAGCCAGGTTGCGGGGAGAGGGAGGGCTCCGTCTGGGCCAGTCCTGCGAGGGGCCCCCCTTGGGCCCTGGCGGGGGCATTGCCTCACACACTCACTTGCCCCCAGCTCTTCATCACGGTGATGGACAAGCTGCGCCTGGAGATCCGCGCCATGGATGAGGTGCGGGGCGTGGGGGGAGGGGGGGCGGGGGGAGTGAAGGGCGGGGGGCGCAGGGGGCTCACGGGGCGTGTGCGCATGTGTGTGTGCAGATCCAGCCTGACCTGCGGGAGCTGATGGAGACGATGCACCGCATGAGCCACCTGCCCCCCGACTTCGAGGGCCGCCAGACCGTCAGCCAGTGGTGAGTGTCTGGCCCTCAGGTGGCCCTGGGGGTCCCTCCCTCCGCGCCCTCTCCAGCTGTGCCCTCCCCCACACCAGGCTGCAGACCCTGAGCGGCATGTCCGCCTCCGACGAGCTGGACGACAACCAAGTGCGCCAGATGCTCTTCGACCTGGAGTCCGCCTACAACGCCTTCAACCGCTTCCTGCACGCCTGACCCTGGGCCCTGCCCGCCTGAGTCCCGGCCTCCCTGAGTCCTGGCCTCCCCGCCCACCTGGGCCCTGGCCTCCCCGTTCATGCAGAGCGGACGGAGGAGTGGACAGAGCCGGGATTCTCAGCCCGGCCCCCGGGAACCCAGCCTCCCAGGACGGTGTCTGCTTTCCTGGCTCCCTGAGCTTTCTGTGGCAGCCCCGTCTGTGTGTCTGTCTTCGTGTGTCTACCTGGGACCCCCTCCCCACAATAAAGATGTTCTCTGACCTTCCTGCTCTGTGGGCACCCACCGGGCCCTGCCTGGCGTGTTTGTCTGCCCTCGGGGCCTCATGTGGGACCCTGCCACCCTGGAGCACACTGTTCCTCAGGGGAAGGTCAGGGTGCCCTGCTGGGCACGGCCTGGGCAAGCAAGGGGGTGCTCGAGCCTCCACCTGGGCTGGGGTGGCGGCAGCCAGGCAGCCAGCAACACGCCAGGAGACCGAGGCTCTGACCCCGGGTGCACTGTTTCCCCTCTTAGCAGCTGTGGGTGAGGGACAAGCCAGCGCTCAATGACAGCCTTTTCTCTTTCTGAACTGCCTCTTGCTACCGTACCTGGGGCCGCCACAGGCCATGAAAGAAGGCGTCTCACAACATTTTACAAGGTAAAGAGCAGAGCAGAGGGACTAGCTTTGGGGGTCAGAGCCAGGGCTGCGGGAGGGTTGATGGGACCTCGGGGGTGTGGGCTGTGCTGAGCGGGGCACCTGTTCCTTGAGGAAGGCCTGGCCCTGAGCAGGTCTGCCTCGGCCGGCCTGTCTGTGGGTTCCTGACTCGGTGCAGGAAAAGTTCACAGCACAAGTCCAGGTGGATTTTATTTTAAACTTTTAAAAAGGGTATTTTTAAATTAATTTCAGGGAGAGAAAGAGAGTAACATCAATGATGAGAATCACTGATGGCTGCCTCCCGCACACCCCCCAATGGGGATGGAGCCCACAACCTGGGCGTGTGCCCTGATTGGGAATCCAACTGTGACCTCCTGGTTTGTAAGTTGATGCTCAACCCCTGAGCCATGCAGCTGGGCTCTTTTCATTGCCATAAAATATATTTTTCAAAAGTTCTCCTTTTTAACTTCAGTGGCATTGAGTATAATTTATTTCAGAAAGGAACGGAGAGGGAGAGAGAAACATCAATGATGAGAGAACCATCACTGGGCTGCCTGAGCATGGAACTGATAGTTCCTCCCTTCCCCCACTGGTGGGTGTAGTAACAGTAAACATGACGTAACCTGCAGCCGGAAATACCTGAGTGCCTAACCATGTACCTTAGATGGACCAGACGTTAAGACACCAATTAGCACCGCCGAGTATCCCAAACCCCATTCCCTCAATGGCCTGCTCACCTCTGCACGGGCGGCTGCTCTCCCTTGGAAGATAGCCCAGCAGGCCTTTCCTGGAATAAAACCTGAGTCACCTGGTTTTTGGCCTCTGACTGATCATTCAGGAACAGAGAGCAAAATCTCAGAGGGAAGTAGGGGAGGTAACCAACCAAGGACCTTGCACTCATACATGCATGGCCATGGACAGAATGGGGTAGGGAGGACCTGGGGTGGGGTGGGCTGAAGGGTATTAATGGGGGGAAATGGGAACGTATGTAATACTTTAAACAAAGAATTTTTAAAATATATCTTATTGCCGAAACTGGTTTGGCTCAGTGGATAGAGCGTCAGCCTGCGGACTGGAGAGTCCCATGTTCAATTCCAGTCAAGGGCATATACCTTGGTTGTGGGCACATCACCAGTAGGGGGTGTTCGAGAGGCAGGTGGTCTTTGATTCTCTCTCATCAATGTTTCTAACTCTATCCTCCCTTCCTCTGTAAAAAATCAATAAAATATATTAAATATATATATATCTTACTGATTTTTTTACGGAAAGGAGTAGAGTCTAAGACATCGATGAGAGAAACATCAATCAGCCACCTCCTGCACACACACACACACACCCCGTCAGGGATGTGTCTGCCACCAAGGTACATGCCCTTGACGGAATCGAACCTGGGACCCTCCAGTCTGCAGGCCAATGCCCTATCCACTGAGCCAAACCGATCAGGGCAACAAATAATTTTTAAAAAATACACTGCTTGCCGGGACCGGTTTGGCTCAGTGGATAAAGCGTTGGCCTGCGGACTGAAAGGTCCCGGGTTGGATTCTGGTCAAGGGCATGTACCTTGGTTGCGGGCACATCCCCAGTAGGGGGTGTGCAGGAGGCAGCTGGTCAATGTTTCTCTCTCATTGACGTTTCTAACTCTCTGTCCCTCTCAATTCCTCTCTGTGTAAAATCAATAAAATATATATTAAAATAAAAAATACACTGCCTATGGCCTACCCTCACATTGGGGATTTGGGAATCCAACCACGACCTCCTGGTTCATAGGTTGATGCTTAACCATGGAGCCATGCTGTTTTCTTCCTGTTTAAGGCTGAATGTTATTCCCTTAAATGGACAGGCCAACACTTTGTATGTGAGGTTGGCAGGAGAAACACTTGGCCCCAGACCAAGGACACTGCCCTTAGCCTGAGGCCTGCCCTGAGACCACCGGATGCCGGGCTGGTCCTTGGACCTGGGCCCCTGCTCCCCTGGAGCTGAGTCAGGGGTCGGGGTACTGAGCAGGTGCAGGTGCCAGGGCCTGTCCCTCCCCCCAGGTGCCAGTGAGACAAAGGTCTCAAGAGGCAGGCTGTGGGGAGGGGCCAGGGCAGGTTTCCTCTCTCAGCAGCATGAGCCAGGATTCCTTTGCTGTTAAGGCTGTACAGGACACATCTGTATTTCAGTGTGGACGAAAGGAGCATGTGCTGACCTGACAGGTTCAGCAGAGGCCTGCATGGCGGTCTTGCAAACTCTAGATACCTAAAGTGACCACAAAAGATGGTCTGAAATTAAACTTTTACTCGCAACTTTCCTTTCTCTGGAAGGAAATAGGGGAGGTAACCAACCAAGGACCTTGTACACATATAATACATGCATGGACATGTGCTGGGCTCCAGGGCAGATGCCTCAAATTCCTTCATTATCATGTTAATTGTTCCTGCACTCACCTAAGCACGTGTCCATCATTTTACCTTTTACCCAATCCCAGGGGTTTCCCTGCTTTGCTTTCTCCCGCCTATCTAGTCCATCCCCAATGGATTTCCTGTAACCCACCTCCGTCCCTCCTTTGATAGCCAGGTATTAATGCAGATGTAGCCGCCATTCTCCCCTGAGGTTCTGCTTCCCAGCAATTGTGGACAGTTTGGTTCAAGTAAACTCAGAAAAACTCTTCACGGGTTTGAGTGTTTTGATGTGAACACACGTGTCCATCTGAGCAGACACCTGCTTCCCACGTTCTGCTCTGGACCCACCCACCCGGGTGTGTGAGTGCTGTGATCACAATGAGTTTATTAGGTGGTGGGACAATGCCAGAGGGCCCTGGCACCCACCGGACAGGCCCACACCAGCACAGAGACCACTGGGGACCCCATCTGCCCCAGCTGAGCTAGGAGGGGGCATCAGTGGGAAGAGAGGGGGCAGGCAGAAGCAGAGGAAAGAGGACCAGCACTGGGAGGTCCTGAGGCCTGCCAGCAGGTGCTAGACAGGGCGGAGACCTGAAGCTGACAGGCCCCAGGCAGCAGGTGGCCTGGGCTCCAGCCCGCCAGGGGGTCCTGATGCAGGACAGATGGGCTCAGCCCTCAGGACTGTGAGGGGAACCTGAACCCAGGCCCCCCCCCCCCCCCCTTACCAGCGTCCAGAATCACCTGAACCCACCTGGGTCCTGCCCCTTCCCTTGCACACACACACACCCCTCCCCGAAGACGGCACCGTGGCTCTGTCCTGGGACCTGGGTCTCTGCTGCCGGGAGCTCCCCCTCCCCCACCCCCTCACTAGTCAGGGCCCAGGGTCAGGAGGCAAGGCTGGCCCTTTCCCCCAGACGCCAGCTCGGCAGCCCGGTCAAAGGCTGGGAGGGAGCCTCAGGGAGGGGCCAGGCTAGACGCCACACCCAAGAGGTCCCCTGCCCCCAGGTGCCAAAGGAGGGAGAGACAAGCAGGCTGGCCGCCAGCTCGGCCATTTCCTGAGGAATTCCCCAGGAGCCTCGGGGGAGGGGACGTGACTCAGCCCACCTCCCTCGGAGACTTCAGCCCTGGGCCCTGGGGCAAAGGCCCCGAGTTCTCAAGGCTCTGGGGGCGCTTCAGCTCCGAGCCAGGGAGGACCCCTGGAAAGGGGCCGAGGGGGCGCTCAGGTGGAATGTCGGGGAGCATCCTTGCTTGGGGGCACCCCGAGAAACAACTGCAGGAGGCGGTGCGGAGGCCCTGAGGGGAGCAGCAGGCAGCGGACCCCCAGGCCGTGAGTCCAGGGAAGGGACCCTGGTCCCCGCAGGCAGCTTGTCTGTCCTGGATGCTCAGCCTCCGTGTCAGACAGAGACAGCACAGCAGGAAATTCCAGGAGAGCTTCTCCTGGCCCCACCGCCGCCCCAGGCCCCGGGCCAGGCCGCATAGCCCCCAGGCTGCGGCTCCTCGTTTTGGGGAGGACCTGCCCCTGGAATGGTTAATCTGCGACTCTGCTGACAGCCAATCACAGAGCCCTGCTGGGACTACCTGGGAGAGAGCCCGCGCCTAGCCCCAGTCTGGCCCCAGGCAGCCCTGTCCGCCCGCCGCTGCCCCCACCCGCACACGGCAGAGGCCTCGGCATGGCCGTCCGGACCCCGCAGACGCCAGGGCTGCTGCTGACGGTGCTGGCGGCGACCTTGGCGGCAGCCACGCCTGCTCACCTGCCGCCTTCGAGGTCCTCGGCCCCGGCCGCTCTGGACCGCGTGGCCCTGGGCGGCCTGTTAAATAGGCTTGCGGCCCGTGCGCACTGCTCCGAGGGGCCGTGTGGAAAGGTAGGCGCCCCACCCCCACCCGACAGGTCCCCTCCGGCCGCCCGGCCCGGCCCGCTCCTCCCAGGGACAAACTCCAGGAGGCGGGCAGAGGCCAAATCCGGCGCCACGGCCCTGCCGGGCTCCAAG